AGTTGTCCTTTTTGGTGTGTATGCTATCGAAGTGAGTGGAGTTGTCTTTTTGAAAAAAAATCTGATGTCCAAGATTTGTAGTTACATTTTCCAGGAGAAATAGGGATAGTATTCTTTATTGAAATTACAAAAAAAAAAAAACCCCACAAAAAACAAAAAACAAACTTATACCAGGCTCCTTGTGCCTCAGAAATAGGGATTTCTGATATTTGCTGTTCTCTTGCCTTTGGGTACTTATGCTGAATTTACTGTGGGCTGTTAAGTTCTCGGTCTTCTGCCTCCTGTGTGTTTAGGCTGTTGCTCCCACTGGCCGGTGTGTGTCCCAGTGCAGACACAGTGTTCTTTCTCTCTAAATCAGCTGTCTTCCATGCAGCCCTCCCCGCTTCCTGTCTGCTGCCAGCTGTGCCCAGCTGTGTGCAGCAGGTCATCATTGTGTGCCCCAACCTGCAAGGGCTCCTGGTCCTGGAGGCTGGGTGGTCCAGGGCCAAGGCTGCTTGCTGTCTGTTCCCCAGCGGTGGGCAGGGTGTCTCAGCTCCTCCACCCTGAGGAGGATGCTGATCCCCTTGCACGAGGTCCTGCTTGCGACCTTGTTACCTCCTCGTACCCTCCTGCCGGGGATGGAGTCTCAGCACACACGTTTTGGGGAGACACATTCGGTCCATAGCACAAATCCACATGGACTTCTTTGGAGCAGTTTTTACCAGGTGACCTGCTAAGTGCTTGATGATCAACTCTCTTCCTGTCGTCCTCAGCGAGTGTGGAAGCTGAGTGAAGGTGACAGTGAAGCGGGAGGCAATAAGGTGCTCTGGGGCGGTAGTGCGTGCACAAGGAAGGCTGTATAGGGGCCAGGTGCCACCCTTCCTGTCGGCCTGGCCTTCCCAGCCGGGCCACCTCCTCTCGGCTGCCTTTCCTGTGCACCCTGGCAGGCCCTGCTGCACCAGGCTGTGCTCTGTCTCCTCTGGACGCTGAGGGCTCCTCCTGCCCAGACGTCTGGTCCTCTGCTCCCGTGCATACACAAGGGTAGTGTGCGAGACAAGGGTGTTTCAGTCACATCATTCTGCTTCATCTGTTGCCGTGTGTGATTCAGGGCAGGTTACTTAGTGTCTCTGCAGACAGAAAAATACTGACTTTTTTCACAGATATACCCTATATGTTACTCTATAGAAGAGTTCCAGAAGCTCAGGAACTTGTATAAAACTTACATTGAAGCTGGAATTGAAGGCTAAGGGCAAGATTCAGTCCTGGTGTCTCTCACAGGCAGCTGTGTTGGGAGTGGAGCACACACTCGGTGTGGTAGAGCGCATCTGAGGACTGTGTGTGCATGGCTGTGTGAGGCTGGGTTGCAGGCCATGCAAGTGTGGTACAGTGAGTGGGGGAGGGGTGCCCAGACTTGCAGGGAAGGCAGTTGCCTCATGGCCCGGGCCGGAGGAAGGGTGCTGGTGCTGTTGCTGAGCCTTGTCACCTTTTTCCTAACAGCTGTCAGGGAAACATGGACACGGCAAGTGACTCAGCCCCTTGAATTGTACAGTTTAATGATTGTGAATTTAGAGTGTGTAGCAACCAACACAGTCCGGTTATAGAATGTTTTCCATCACCATCAGAAGATTCCGCATTCCCTTTCTCCAGCTTACTGTTTAAGGTATGAGAAGCCAAGTAAAAATTCGGAGAGGAAAGCCTGATCCTGGTAATCCCAGCTACTCAGAGGCTGAGGCAGGAGAATGAAGGATGGCAAGTTTGCTCAACCTGGGGCAAATTAGGAGAACCTGTCTCAGAAAAGGGGCTGAGGATGCAGCGTAGCACTGCCTGGGTTCAAGGGCCGGGACTCCAAAACAAGGGTGGGGGCAGCAGGTTGGACCAGGCAGGAAGCGGGCCAGAGGCAGCTCCTTCTACTTGTGTGTCCTAAGGAACACAGTGGAGGAGGTGCTGAACGTTGGAAAACAGAACACGCTGCAGAGAGTGATAGCTGAGCCAGGTGTGGTGGTGCACGCCTATCATCCCAGCACTTGGGAGGTCCAGGCAAGGAGAATTCCTGTGAGTTCAAGGCCAGACAGGGCTACATAAGTGATTTCAAGGCCAGCCTGCACTACATAGTTGACACCGTCTCAAAAAAAAGTGATAGTCGAAGCTGCATGCCTGTAATCCCAGCTACTTGGTAGGCTGAGGCAAGAGGGTTGCAAGTTTGACTTGGTAAGATCCTGTCTCAGAAAGGGCTGGGATGTAGCTCAGTGGTACAGTGCCTCTGGGTTTAGTCCCTCGTATGGGAAAACACAAAGCCAAAAGATAGGGCTTAACAAGGAAGACAGAAGTAAAGTGGTGCTTATCAGTCCTTTAATGGAACTGTCTTGGTTACTTTTCTCTCATTGCTGAGACAAAATACCTGATGCCCAAAACTGAGGAAGGAAAGGTTTATTTAGCTCACAGTGTGTGGAGGTTTCAGTCCATACTCAGCTGGCTCCAAGGCAGAGTGGCACATGGCAGAAGGCAACAGTTCATGGTGGGAGAACAGCAAAAGCAACAAGAGCGGAAAGGGAGGAGTGGCAGCAAGCAGCCTCTTTCCCTCCCTTACATTGGTGTGTAGACTACCTGCCCCAGGACGATGTAGCACTCACACCCATGAGTCAGTCATAAACTAAAAGCCCGTCCCATGACTGCATCATGGTTTTGAAGGGACACCCAGACACAAAACATAACTGAAACTTTTCTCTTGTTTTCAATACAGGATAAAAACAAGCATTAATGCATATTGTATTAATATGGTACATCTGTTATACAACAGTAATATATGTGGTAGAACATTTCTAAAATGCTGAATGGTGAAAGGAAAAAAGATCACTTACAATCTTTCTTTTTTTTTTTTTGCTGTGCCAGGGATTGAACTCACAGCTTCGCGCTTGCCAAGCAGGCGCTTATGCCACTGAGCTATATCCCCAGCCCCCACTTACAATCTTTTAATTGAGAGATACTCACTAATCTTTTCTTGTTCTTTATACTTTTTATATGTATATTTATATATTTGAAGTATACTGGAAAAATTGCTTTTAATATTTGTTAAGTACTTTAAAACTGATTTTTTTTGATTTTTGAGATAGCGTCTCATTTTATCCCAGGTCGGTGTTGAACTTGCAGCAGTCCTGCTGAGTGCTGGAGTTCCAGGCATGTGCCACCACAGCTGGCTCAAAACTGGTGCATGACTAGTGCGCATTTAATACCACCTGATTTGTGAGAAAAAACTTTTGGCCCTGTTCATTGTTACAGACGATAAAGTAACACATGCACGTGGGAAGGCTCGCACTGCACAGAAGGGACGAAGCATAGGAAGCCACAGCTTTCCCTCCCTCCCCCTGTGACACTTCTTGGAGTTAACAGTGGGTAAAACTTCTTTCTGATCGTTTCTGTTTTCTCTGCTGGGCTGGTGCTGCCCTGGCGCTCATCACTGCTGTTCCACAGCAGTGCCGGCCCGCTCTGTGTGAAGTGCTCGCCGAGGGCGTGTCATGTGGACAGCTCGGTGCACGTCACGTTCTGTTGACAGCAAGGTGAAGTGCTTATTTTTATCTTCTCAGTGCTGTAGTTAATATTTTCGTGCATGTATCCTTGCAGTCTTGTAAAAGTCTATCGGAAGGAGAAGTACCTAAAAGAGAACTTCCTGAGTGAAAGAGAATGTACTTGAGATACTGGTGGCGATGACCAGACTGTGCTGGTGTGTGCATGGACAGTGGCAGGTACTCGCGGCATCTTCGTTCCCTCACACTCCTGCCAGCCCTGGATCGTACAGACCTTTGAGTTCTTGGCCAGTCTGATAACAGAAAAGCAACTCGTCGCGTAAGAGATTATCACTGAAGCTGAAAGTTGTTTTCATGTGTGCAGTAGTGAGACACACATAGCTTTTCTGTGAACTGTCTGTTGACTCTTTTGTGTCATTCTTCTGATTTATTCCCATTTTCATTGGTTTGTTTTTAAATTCATTTTCTTTCACAACTTGCAGTTCTTCTCACATTGGCTTGTCTTTTGACCTTGTTTGTGGTCAGATTTATCAGACTCCTCACTTGTGACTTGTGGGGTTTGAAGCTGCAGAATAACCTTTAAAAGTGAGTACAGAGAGAAAAACTGAGTCCAGTAGTGTTTCAGCTTCATATCAGAACGGCTGTCCAGAGGGACAGAACTAGTCCAGGTGGCTTTTCAACACTGTATTCAGACTGTGTACCTTCTGTCTAGAGAAGAAAAAAGGAACCAGGGTTTGAACTCTTCTTATGTTTGTCCTCCATTGTGCCTGCCGTGTGGAAACTGTTCTGTGCGTATTTTAGGATTCAGTCAGCTCTGGTTTCCTTCAGCAGAGCTGCTGTATAAAATATAATGGCTGTTAGTAGCCCCAGAATGTGATTATGTGAATCATTAAGCTTACCATTTTTACCTCTCTAAGTTAGTGATAGAAACCGCTCATGCGTAGTTCTAGTCCAGGGGTGGCAAACCTGTTGCATGCATGTTGATTTTTTTTTTTTTAAGACAAAGAAGTTAAGGTGTGAGCTGTTTTTTCTAAGCTAGAACCTCAGTGTTCAGGTTTAATCGCAGTGTTGGCGCTTCATGATAAATAGGTGGGCTTTGGGTTGCAGTGTGGGCACTCGGTCCCTCCAAGGCTCGTCGTCACCCTCCTAGTCTTTGTCATGTGCTGTGCATGGTTGTTCGGTCACAGCATGAACGTAGTAAGACTTCATGTTGCTTGGCAGTCAGAGTGAAGCCCTTTACCTTGGTGAGTTCTGTGTAAGAGCCGTCACTTGGATTTGCATTGGGCTTACTTTTCTGACACTCGAGGACCGCAGTGCCTTCATCTCACCTCAGCATGGACACGGGTGATGCCTGGAACATAATCCAAGAAAGCAAATAAAGGATGTTTTGGGGGCGTGGGGAGGACTGGACTGGTACGTGCAGGGTGAATTGGTGCCCCAGGCCCAGGGGTGTTGGTGTTTCTGGAGTGGAGTAGGTGACGGGACGTTTTCTCCACACAGGTGTGTGTGATGGACAGGTGACACGGAGGCCGCTCCCTCTGTGGTCAGGGTGCCAGCATGACCGAGTGCTTCCTGCCCCCCACCAGCAGCCCCGGTGAGCACCGCAGGGCCGAGCATGGCAGCGGGCTGACGCGGACGCCCAGCTCGGAGGAGATCAGTCCCACCAAGTTCCCTGGCTTGTACCGCACGGGCGAGCCCTCGCCGCCCCACGACATCCTCCACGAGCCTCCGGATATAGTGTCGGACGATGAGAAGGACCATGGGAAGAAGAAAGGGAAGTTCAAGAAGAAGGAGAAAAGGAGTAAGTGCTGTTTCTATCTGTGCTTTTGAGGTGTTTCAGATGAACTCCCCCAACCAGGGCTAAATATTCTGGACATACGACCGGAGACTTTGGTTTGGCTTTTTCTGTTCTTTATTTTCAGTCTCAGTTTTTGATACTGGAGTTGTATTTTAGGGTCTGAACCTCACAAGTAAAAATACCAAATTTCCGGAAGTGGCAGTTCTCCAGTGGATATTTTCTGACGTGATCGTTCAAAATAATGTATGAAAAGTAGATACTGGAATTTTGCCCTGATAGCCTTAGTGGGTTTCTTGAGTGGGTTTGGGGTATGCTTTTATTGGAGTTGTAAAGGAAGTAGTGCATTTGTTCCAGGCAGCTGCTAGGACACCTTCATCCAGACTCTTGGGCAGCAGGGAGGGATTTTTCTAGGGAGAGAGCTTTAGTGTGTTGAAGTAGAGAAGGCGATTTAAGTATTTTGGATTTCATGAGGCTCTTAGGTTAATTTATGCACAAATGTGCATAACTTGCTGCGGTGAATGGCCTGTGGGACCGCAGCGTGGCCCTGGAAAGGCGCTGAGGGCACCAGCAGCTCCCCTGCCGCACTTGGGCGGGCTCCCAGCCGTCCCCAGCAGGCTCCGGTACCCCGGTCGTGCTGCCGGCCCTGCAGGAAGGGGCGTCCTCCTCTTGTGCCCAGTTTCTTTGGCCCAGTATGATGTCTGCTAACCTCACTCGTGTTATTGCGTGTGACGGTAATTGTTCGTTTTTTCTGGGTGTTGTTTCCCTGCTCCGGCACACTAGAAATCCGCTGCTTTTGTTGGTCATTTGAGTTATTTTCAGTTTTTGACTGCGATGAGCGGTGCTTCTCTGAACAGTGGCACGCGTGTCTTAGTGTGCGTGTGTGCACGTTTTTGTATGTGCCTGTGTTGTGCCTGTTGGTGTACGTGTGCGTGCATGTCTGTTGTGTGTCCTGCTGACATGCACGCTCGCAGGCGTCAGGAGGCTCTAGAATGGGCTTCTGGGGTGGTGGTGCCATTCCAGTTCCCCAGCAGGGGGAGTGCTCACTTGCTTTCCAGTGTGGCATTTTGTCCTTCCGGAACTTGCCCTCTTCTAGGGGAGAAGAACAGGAGAGTGGTAGGTGCTAGGAGACAGCACAAGGCCTGGGCCGCGGGGCACCTGCTGTAGTCCCATCTGCTCGGGAGGCGCAGGCGGGCGGCTCGTTGGAGTCCAGGGGCTTGTGGCCTCCTCACAAGCAGGTGCACACCAGGATGACTGGTGGGGTGTGAAGGCCGCAGAGCTCTTGGTCAGCGTGAAAGAGGCCGGTGCAGGAGCTGAGCCCGCGGGCCTGCCGGCGTCCCCTCACGGGGGCGCCTCCTGTCCAGTTGCCGTCTGGGAACAGGGCCGAGTTCCAGCACCGCAGGGGTGGATTGGCAGGGCGCATGTGATGGAAGGGTGCTGTTCTTCAGGGTTCCTTCCGTCAGGCCTGTGTAGAGCTTGGCACGTGTGTTGACACTTGGCCGGCGCACACGTGCTGTACAACACAAACCAGCCTCCCCTGCTGCCTGGGTGTCGGCGCCGGGCCTGTCTCCCTCCTGTGGCAGTCGCTGCCACCGCAGTGTTCTTTAGCTAGAAGATCCGTGTCTTGGGAGCTCTGCCAGGTGGCGCTGTTTTGTGGGCCGCTCTTTAGAAAGCACACACGCAGTCTGACATTGAACTGTTGTCTAACCAGCTCTCCTTGCATTGCTCTGGCAGCTGAAGGCTATGCTGCCTTCCAGGAAGATAGCTCTGGAGACGAAGCTGAAAGCCCATCCAAGATGAAGAGGTCCAAGGGCATCCACGTCTTCAAGAAGCCCAGCTTCTCTAAAAAGAAGGATAAGGATTTTAAAATAAAAGAGAAACCCAAAGAAGAAAAGCATAAAGAAGAAAAGCACAAAGAAGAAAAACATAAAGAGAAGAAGTCCAAGGACTTGACAGCAGCTGATGTTGTTAAGCAGTGGAAGGAGAAGAAGAAAAAGAAGAAGCCGATTCAGGAGCCGGAGGGACCTCCGATGGACGTGCCCAGCTTCAGGCCCGTCTTTGGGATTCCCTTGGCCGACGCGGTGGAGAGGACCATGATGTACGACGGCGTCCGGCTGCCGGCCGTTTTCCGGGAGTGTGTGGATTACGTGGAGAAGCACGGCATGAAGTGCGAGGGCATCTACAGGGTCTCAGGTACGGGAGTGATAACACGAGCTCACCTGCACTTCTCAGAGGCAGGAAAGCCGGCGCTGGCGTGAGGAGCCCGCTGGCGTCCTTGTTCCCCCCACCCGCAGGCTAGGTGGCCTCCCCCAGCGGCCCCTCGTTCCGTTCCTGTAACTCTCACTTAGCACCTCGTCGGCTCCTGAGAGATTTAGTTATACGGTTACTTGAGGGCCTTACGTATTTTCAGGATGAGTTAGGTCTGATAGATCAGGATTGACAGATCAGCCAGTTTTTCCACTTAATCGGTTCCTATTGCATTTCCAGCAGGTTGAGAAGGGGCAGCTGGTTTTGATACTTGGGGAAACCGTCGTTTCTGGTAGGTAACCAGCTGTCACTTAAGAGTACTTCGGCTGCACTGCTACAGTTCTAGAGGAGAGACAGTAGAGGAGATACAGTAAAGTAGGCAAGGAATTTGAGTTTATTATTCCTTAGTAGTGTATAGAATTAATGCACGTTAAACAAGTGTGCACATTTGATTTTTAAGAGTGTTTTATGATGAGTTAGTTTTTAAAATATTTAAACAGCAATGGTATAAGCTGTTCCCCTCAACCAATCCTGATGACCATGGAGAAATTTGGTTTTAGGCAGTTTTCCTGAAGGCGTCTGTGGTTTGCTCAGATGGTCTTTTCGTGTCTCTGACCGGTTTCTGATGTGTGCTGTCCTCTGCAGAGTTGGCCTTGCAGAGCTGCTCGCCGGGAGCTCCGCGCTGGGAGGAGCCGGCCACTCCTGCTGAGCGCTTTGCCTGTGTGTCCTGGCGCCCAGTGGCAGGGCAGCGCGCTGCAGCTGGAGCTGGCCTGGGTGGGGACTTGCCTTCTTTCAAGCCAAAGAGCACTACTAGTTTTTGCTGGAGAGTTTAAAAACTGATGTGAAAGATAATTTACTTTACATTTTAAATTTACTTGTCTGCGTTTTCATATTTTTTCATTAAAGTGCACCTGATAAACTTTTTCTCTCTGTGCTTGAATTCTTTATTTAAAGTATCCAGCTTTTAAAAGAAAAACACTTTGATAACACTTTCAGAGTAAAGAAACCAAACATAATTGTTTAAACATAACCTAATTTGCTATGTAGATATTGTAGGTTGGAAAATTAAATGTTTTTAAAACAAGTACAATATATTTATGGGATGGTACATATGGTATATATTTGACAGAGATCTTTGCCAAGAATTTCAGTTAGTTATTGCTCACCTTGTTTTATTCATTGTCATAAAAAAATGGAAATTAATTTTCTAACTTTTCTGTCTCAAAGATTATGCATAAAGATTCTTACTATTTTTGTATTTGGGGCCACTTGATTTTATTTTGATAAATTACAGGTTCAATTATGGTGCCATTAGAAGGTTTTTCACATAAGACAAGGAATGCCAAAACCTGAATATGAGCTCTGTGTTGACTGTAAAGTGCTGTTCAGATCACAGGACAGTTGCCTAGAAAGCCTTAGCCTTGTGGCTTAATAACTGGCCTAACGTCTAAGTGTACAAAGTGCAGAGCAGCTTTGTACTCTGAACGAGCAGTCCCTGCTGCTGACCTGCCTTGCTTAGCACAGGTTGGAGTAAAGACTTAAGCCCCGGATGCAGGGCTTGAAGAGCCTTCACTCAGGGGCTCGAGTTTCTTTTTGTTCAGTAGGAGATGCCAAACAGTTTGATTTTAGAAGCCAAAACTTTAATTTTTTGTTCCAGCTCTGTTTGGATTAAGAAAACACTTTAAAAGTTGAAATTCAATGGGCTGGGGATTTAGCTCAGCGGCACAGCGCCTGCCTGGTGAGCACAAGGTCGTGAGTTCGATTCCTGGTACCGGAAAAACAACAACAGCAACAACAACAACAAAAAATGAAATTCAAATAAAATTGAAATTAGATGGGAACTGTGTAGTGGAGAATAATTTTCAAAGAATTCATTTCAGTAGATAACTCACCTTTTGTATTTACAAGTTTTACTTACAAAAATAAATTCACCCACAGCTTTTTGGAGCATACTCAATATGAGCCAGGTTACATTTTATGTCAACAGCCTTGTGACAAGTTAGAAAAAGCACTTGGCTTAGTTTGGATGGTAGTTTAATTTTTCCCTGAATTTTTACATAGTTACCTTTATACCTAAATGCTTTTTTCTCCCCAAGTCGGTTGGCATTCACATCTCAGGCTGCTCTCCTTGGCACACGCAGAACTTGGCGAGGCTCACCCTGACTGTCGTCTTCCTGCGGCAGGACTTGCGGAGAAGCCGGGCCTCACGCAGATGAAGAGCTCCGTCGGTTTTCTGCCGTCTGGGAGGCCGGGCTCCATTTCTCATGGGGGCCAGGGGTCGTGGTAAAGAAAGTGCTTGGGTTGCATGTTCTGCCCTCTCATTGTTGTCTTCTCTTCTGAATTTGAATGTTTTAAGGAATTAAATCAAAGGTGGATGAGCTGAAGGCAGCCTATGACCGAGAAGAGTCTCCCAACCTGGAGGACTACGAGCCGAACACCGTGGCCAGCCTGCTGAAGCAGTACCTGCGAGACCTTCCGGAGAACCTGCTTACCAAAGAGCTCCTGCCGCGCTTCGAGGAGGCGTGCGGGAGAGCCACGGAGAGTGAGAAGGTGCAGGAGTTCCAGCGCTTGCTCAGGGAGCTGCCCGAGTGCAACTGCCTCCTCGTCTCCTGGCTGGTTGTGCACATGGACCACGTCATCTCCAAGGAGCTGGAGACCAAGATGAACGTTCAGAACATCTCCATAGTGCTCAGCCCAACCGTGCAGGTACTGGCTTTCTGTGCACGCCCTGGCGCCGTGGGAGGCCAGGGACGCTCTGTTTCTGGTCTTGGTGGTGCTGGGGCTCGAACCAGGGCCTTGTGCATGCCAGGTAAGCGCAGTGCCACTGAGGTGCACTGGCCCTTGCCTGTCATTGAATCCCCTGTGATGAGGGAGCCCAGAGGGCAGGCAAGAGACGTTGGACTGCAGGGCTTTTCCTTCGTCATGTGGACAGTGTCCACATTTAAGATAAGGAGCGCATTTGACGCTTAGTGTGTAGCTGTGAAATTGGAGTGGTGTGAGTTTAGAAACCTGCTCTGGGTGATGGTGCTGTGCGTAGTTGAATTCCTCAAGATGCCTGCAGTTACAGCGCTCAGCTATAAAACTGTAAAGGTTCCGGTTGTTTTATCAAGTAGGGTTATTGCTCAGTTATATCACAGACAGATCAGACGCGGGGACAGAAGGGCCTCCATTAATTTGGTCAAGAATTTATTGAGGGTTTCATTGGTAAAGACTTATCTCACAACTGGGGTATGGTGGTGTGTGCCCGTAATGCTAGGAGGCCGAGGTAGGAGGATCACAATTTTGAGCCCAGCTTGGGCTATTAATGCGCTGTGTCTCAAAAAAAAACCAAACAAAAACTGTCTGGGGTGTGCTGAGTGCGAGACTGTCCACCCGAGCAAGGCTCGCGGGAATACATGTTGGGTGTCAGCCTCCTTTGCTGCTGCTCAGGTGATTAGCCACTCATAACTGGGGCTAAAAACCAGGACATAACAGTTACATTTTAACTCCTTTTTGGCATAAATCATTGTCTCTGTTATAAGAGTGTGTTTTCTTTAAAGCCTGTTTCATTGCTTGTACTGATGATCTTTTATAAGCAAGGCGTTTCTCAAATTTCTCAAACTGAAATGATCACTAGTCAGGATTTCAGCATCCAGTGCACGTTACCATTATGTGGGTGATGGCGGCGCAGGAGGCCCAGGGTGTTGGGAACAGATCCTGGTTGTCCCAGGCCGTGGCCTGTGGTTCTGGCCTCCCAGGGTGCGGTGTGTCCCAGGGCCTCTGCCTCTGCAGCCTCCCGGCTTGGAGATGAAGGACAGTGCATGCTTTACTCAGTTCACCCGACAGTTACAGGAAAAAAAGGACGTGCTGACAGGCAGTGCTGCCCGTGCCTGCGCAGGTTCTGATTTCCGCTTCCGTCGCCTCCAGTTTGACCATCCCTTCTTAAGTTGGCCGTTAGCTAGCAAAGCCTGTCTTGTCTCTCCTCAGAATTTCCATTCACGTGTCCAAGGGTTCGAGCTTGTGTTACGCAATTCTCACGAATGAAGTAATTTTGTTCTCTCCCAAATCTTTTTCTTTTCCTCCAGATCAGCAACCGTGTTCTGTATGTGCTTTTCACGCATGTGCAAGAGCTGTTTGGAAACGTGGTACTGAAGCAGGTGACAAGGCCTCTGCGATGGTCTAACATGGCCACGATGCCCACGCTGCCCGAGACCCAGGCTGGCATCAAGGAGGAGATCCGGAGACAGGTGTTTTCCTTACCTGCCCACAGTGGGCGCTGTGGGGACAGGAGGAGGGGCTCTGCCCCACCCCCGTGACCTTGCGGGGGGGCATGTGAGGCACCGTTCCCGCCATACACATCAGGGCATCCTGACTTTAGATCAAAATACTGCTCGAAGTTTGGTCGTGCTCCGTAGGAATGCCCTGGCTTTAGGCCAGTTGCTTACTCTTTAGCCTAGGTGTTCTTTTTTTGTTTTGTTCTGTTTTTTGGGACAGGCTCTTGCTGTGTAGTTCAGGGTGGTGTTGAACGCACTGTGTAGCCCAGGCTGGCCTCCAACGCATGGCAATCCTCTTGCCTCAGCCTCCCGAGTTCTGGGATTACAGGCGTGTGCCCGAGCCCAGCTGATGATGCGCTTACTGTAAAATGCATCCTGCCGTAGGGTTGGTGTGACAGTTTCCCAGCGGAGGTAATGAGTGGGGGGGCTCGGTGTGGCGAGGCCTGTGGTAACGTTTGGTCATCTAGACAAGGCTGCTCTGTGGCCCTATGTTACACATAGGAAGGCTGTCCTGTGATTCTCAGGCTAGAGAACCAGGATTAGCCCTGCCGTACCACTGACTCTGGCATAAGAAGCAGTGCTGTGTGTCAGATTACATAAGAAATTCAAGATGCGGTAAGAAACACAGGTGTGTCTGATCATGGGTGCCGTGTCCTGAGTTCCCTGCCTCCCCCATACCCGTGCTCGGAGCTCCTGGTTGTTTTAGCTGGGCCGTGTGGGGAGCGCAGCTGGGGTCTGCAGTAGCTGCTGTCGAAGCCAGGCAGGTCGCTGTCACCAGCCTTGCTCCTGGAAGCTGTTGAGCCTATTTCCCCCGAAGATCCTTGGGAAAGGACAAGCGCAGTCACTTACTCCCCAGTGCTCAGGGAAAGTAGTTGTTTATGGCTTCCGCGGGTGCAGCGGTGTTTTTGACATTACAGTAAGGCATGGGGTGCTATCTGGTGTGTTGTTGTTTTCTAGGAGTTTCTTTTGAATTGTTTACATCGAGATCTGCAGGGTGGAGTGAAGGATTTATCTAAAGAAGAAAGATTATGGGAAGTACAAAGAATTTTGACAGCCCTCAAAAGAAAACTGAGAGAAGCTAAAAGACAGGTAACTTACCGTTTTGGTTTGCTGTGTCATATTCTAAGAAGACATGAAGAGGATGTGCCGGAGTCACGTACACCACTGCAAATGATTTCTTTTAAAAATATTTATACATACCTGTTGAAGTGAAATTCTCCCGTGGGAAGTGTGTTCCCGCCAGCATTCCTCGTTCAGGGTTACTGGTACTTGAATCCAGTCAGATGTTTCATTAACTTAGGAAGGTTTTATTTAATTTAAAGACGATTTTACTTAGACAGATTTGGTCATTTCCTGCTGGGTCACACCTCTGCTCAGCGGGCCGAGGGCTGGCAGGGTCGGGATGCAGAGCCTGGAGGCCTCAGAGCTGGCGGGGTGGCTCTTGGCTGGGGAGGAGGGCAGGGTCAGGCCCCGCTCCCTGCCAGCTGTGGGTGGGGCTCATTGCTGGGTGCACATGTCCAGTCTCTGGGCCATCTGACAGCCCAGGTGCCATCAGCAGTGGCGTCCGCACAGCGCTCTGAGCCTCGGGCGTGCGCAGCAGGCTTGGGGAGTAGGCTGGCGGCCCGGACAGGAGACATCGGCTTTCGCATCTCTTGCTTCTCGTCTCCCTGGGTAACAGAGTCACCGTGGTGTGCGTCCAGGGCCAGTGTGAAGGGATGCACTGCTGTCTCTGTGCCGGTTTATTTCTTTGTTCTTTGTGCCCCACCAGGGTCTCGAGCAGGCTGAGCCACACCACAGCCTTTACCAGTTTTTTAGGTGCTGTGACTTCCGCCTGCTCCTTGCTCACAAAATGCTCAGAAGGTTCCATCCTGTTGACTTTTTATCTTGGAGGAGTGTATGACTTTTTTCTTTTTGAGACAGGGTCTCACTGTGTAGTCTAGGTTGGCCTTGAGCACACTGTTTGGGCAGGCTGGCCTCAAACTCGCGGCAATCCTCCTGCCTCAGCTTCCAGAGTGCTGGGACCATGGTTGTATGCCACCATGCCCTGCTTAGGAGGGCGTGACTTTTAAACAGTAACATAATTCAACACACTAGCAGGCTAGAAGTAAGAAAAACCACAATATCAGCTTGGCATATTTTGTGAACAGTTCCACTCTTGGGTATTTAAGACAAAAAGTCGATGTTGTGCTGAAGGCAGTGCACATACGCGGTAGTGCTCTCATTGCAAAGCCCCACAGCCCCCTGCCGGTGGGTGGGAAGGGCCTGGCTTTGTTCCTGGGGGTGGGCTGCAACCCTGCCCAGCAGGTTACGCTACAATTGCTGAGGCAAACAGCACGGGAGGACTCTTGGCCTCTTGCTCAGTAAAGAGGCCAGATTCAAAAAAATCTCCTTGCTGAGTGACTCAGTTTATATGAACCTCAGAAAGAGGAGCGGGTGTGGTGACGCACGCCTATAATCCCCGCACTCAGGAGGCTGGGACAGGAGGATTGCCGTAGGTTCAAGACCAGCCTGGGCCACTGAGCAGTTCAAGGCCAGCTGAAGTGCATAGCAAGATCCTGTCTAAACAACAGCAAGAACAAACTCAAAAGGGAACACTGGTGGTGATGGGGAGCAGGAGCGAGTGAGGGGTTGCCGGCGGATGGGGATGCAGGCCCCTGGTGTCTGAATGTTCCACAGCACCATGGTGCTGCTGTGACTGCACGCGCGTCAGGACCGACACCTTTGGTGGCCCCACGCCTGTGCCCTGAGGTCCCGGAGGCCGTGAGCAGCGCAGCCCAGGACGGACGCGTGTGTGCGCCGTGATTCTGCCCAGTGCTGGGAACAGAAGCAAACGTGCGCTGGGGTGGTGCGCCTCTGGCACACGGGCTGAGCGTTCTTTCCGCCTGCTGGACAGGAGTGTGAGACCAAGATTGCCCAGGAGATAGCCAGTCTGTCAAAAGAGGACGTTTCCAAAGAAGAGATGAATGAAAATGAAGAAGTTATAAATATTCTGCTCGCCCAGGTAAGCCACATTCTCTCTCTCTTTTGCAAGGCTTTTAATCATCATTGAGAATGACAGTTTGAGAAGCTCGGCTGCAGAATCTTTCGCCTTGAATGACAAGGTGGCGGCGCGGGCTGCTGAGCTGTGAGAGCGCAGCGTGTGCTGTCCCCTGCCGACCCCTCCGGGCTCTGTTCCCTGGTCACCCTTGTCACACTTGGCCCACACAATGTCTGGGGCTTCCCCAGTGCACAGCTGAGCAGATTTGTTCCCTCTCGTGAGGCCAGACTTCAGTAAGAATTTGCAGATCCACTGTGCCCATGTCATGTAGCTCAGGGCCTCGGCGTGTAGGGCTGCGGGCCGTAACTGGAGCTGGTGTGACAACTGCAGCTATGTGGGCTTCGTTCTTTGCAGGGGAAGTAGTTGTTGGAGACAGTTGTCTCATGGTCCTTCGCTGATTCGGTAAATACCCTTGAGAACCCACTGAGCTCCGGGACCGGCGGAACAGGAGCTTTGTTTTTCTTCCTGAGTTTTTCAAGTCAGCCTCAGTCTGTTCCGGAAAATCCCAGGGTTTGGCTAGAGAGGAACGAGGTTCCGGGCTTTGACCGCATCACCTGTCTAGGTCCCCAGAGACTTGGCATGCAGGTCACCTAAAGCCCTGCAGAGTCCACCGTACTGTTCCTTGGGGGACACAGCTCTTCCTGGGGGCAGATGTGGCGCGGCTGCATCTTTATTCAGGGTCCCTCAGCCTCGTAGTCTTGTGTGCCATGTTGTGGGTGGCTGGGCGCAGGCCGCCTGCTTCCCACCGCTGTTTGCAGAGGGTATGCGGTGCCTCCTGGCGTGGCAGTGGGCTTCACCACACAGCCTGTTGCCCAGAAGGGAGGCCGAAGGCCTTCGCCTGTGTCCAGCTCCTCCTTCCCACAGCCAGTCTGCTGCTTCCACACTGTGCCCAGCTTGGTTTCTCCTGCAGAGGGCGGTGTCTCGGTGCTCGGGAATCCCCCATTGCTTTTGACCCCCTGGTGGCCAGGTCAGCGTTAGAGTTGGTCCTGTTACACGGGATGTTTTCCGTGTCCCTTGCATCTCTGGGACAGGCTGTGGCCAGTGGCCAGTGATGAGGAGAAATGATTTCTGCACCTTCTTCCCTTCGCTGGTCTGCCCTTCACGGGCCACTGCACATCTCCCCTGGGCCCTCTGTCCCTAGTGATACCATGGAAGGAAGGCCACCCTGGCCCAGGGGACACACTTCCCAAGAGGCCGGCATCATTCTGCGTGTCTGTCCCCGGGACCTGCCTTGGTCCTGGCGCACGTGTCCCGGCAGCGCCGGGCCGTAGCTTCCCGGGGGTGCTGAGTCGCCAGGAAGCCCAGCCTCCTCCTGGAGGAGACCACGTGGCTCTGGCTGTGCTGTGCTGCAGTGTGAGGGAGAACCCAGCCAGTGCTGTGTCCGAAGGCAGCTGCAGGCCTCGCTTACTCGTTTCAGGAGAATGAGATCCTCACCGAGCAGGAGGAGCTGCTGGCCATGGAGCAGTTCTTACGCCGGCAGATTGCAGCCGAGAAGGAGGAGATCGAGCGCCTGCGTGCCGAGATCGCTGAGATCCAGAGGTAAGGAGAGCCCAGGGCATTTAGGTTTCCAGAATGTTCACTAAATGTTCACTAGGTATGGCATGCACTCTAGGAGGCCGAGGCAGGAGGATTGCAGGGTAGAGCCTAGCTGGGCAGTTTAGTAACTTAAATAGACCCCCGACACACATACAGAAACTGTTTCTGTTCTCAGACTTTCTTACAAAAGATGAAGGTCAGTGAAATTGATGGCCTCTGATTTCGTGTGTATCAGGTCTTCCGACTGGTGCAGTAGGTGGGCACGTGGCCTCACGCCTGTGCTCCCGGCACTCTGGGAGGAGAATCAGGAGTCTGAGCTCAGCCTGGGAAACTCAGCAAGAGCTGTCTCAAAATGAAATAGGCCTGGGGGTGTAGCTCAGTGCGGAGGCCCTGGGGTCAGCTCCTGGGGCGCGCACACAGGACGCAGACCTGGGCTCTGGCTAGGGCTGTGCGCTCAGGAGAAGGGGCGGCCGCGAGAGCGGCGTGCAGGCCCTGCCTCTGTCCCCAGCCGCCAGCAGCATGGCCGGAGCGAGACGGAGGAGTACTCCTCGGAGAGCGAGAGTGAGAGCGAGGACGAGGAGGAGCTGCAGCTCATTCTGGAGGACCTGCAGCGCCAGAACGAGGAGCTGGAGGTGGGTCTGGGGTCGCAGCCAGTCTGGGAGCTCGAGCTTCCTGAGTCCTGCCCGGTCCCCAGCAAGGAGGCTGCGTAGGCAGGAGTCGGGCTGCGTCACCTGAGCCGCTGGCGCTGGCTGGTGGCTCGGTGGCCGCCTTGTGTGCCCTTCCTCCCCCCACCCAAAGCAGTGTTGAATGCCGCTTGGGCAGCTTCGAGTGGCCTTCAGATGGCCTCTGAGATAAGCAGGAGCAGCAGGGCTGGGACGGGAAGCCGGGGACACACAGAACCGGCGGGAGACACGGTGTGCCCAGCCGGGCGGTCGCTGGGGTCCTCAGGGAGGTGTCGGCTTGGGACCCGCGGAGGTGGAGGGAGCAGTGGGCCATGGGACAGTGCAGGGCGGGGGAGCCACAGGCCCAGCAAGGCACCTGTCCCTGTCAGCTGTCACCGACCGGACCGGGCTCCCTCTGTCCCCTTCCTGCAGATCAAGAACAACCACCTGAACCAAGCCATCCACGAGGAGCGCGAGGCCATCATAGAGCTGCGTGTGCAGCTCCGCCTGCTGCAGATGCAGCGCGCCCAGGCCGAGCCGCCGGACGATGAGGAGCCCGAGCGGCGGGCGGGCACCGTGGCCTGGGACGGCGTCCTGGAGGCCAAGCCGTCGCCGGGCAGAGACCGGAAGGAGACGCCCATCTGAGCGCGCTCTCTGGAGTCGGCTCTCCGCCCGCGTCCCCACGACGGTCCTCAGACTCAGGTTCCGGAGGACGGAGCAGGGCGCCCGTGGGCCGTGGACAGATGCTCTTCCAGATAGTGTCAGCTTATTTGAAAATTAATTTTCTTCGTTAACGTAAAGTAACGATTTTAACCCTTGAGTGGCTTCTTTTTAAACCAAAAATTGTCTTTCTTTGCTTTTTTATCACAGCAGAATCAGGATCTCTTTCTCATCCAAGGGGGGGAACCAAACCAGGTCACTGCTGCGCCTGCGGGGTGCCCGCCGTCGCCCGCAGGCCTCTGCGTACCTAGTCACTCTTGCTTGTGCCTTCCACACCTCCTCGGTGCAGACGACTCGGCGAGGGCGCCGCTCCTCTCCCGACTGGCCGGGCGGCCCCCGCTGGTGTCCCTTAGCCCTGTCACGCTCTCCTCTCTCAGTTCTCAGCCGAGGCCGGCCGAGTGGCCACAGAGGCTGCCGCGGGCTCCGCCTGCCGGCCACTCACTGCCAGGGGCCGCCAGAGGCCTTTGCCCCGTGGCCGCAGGTGGCCACCTCACCCGAGGGGCCCACAGAGATCTGTCTCAAAGCCCAAACTTTCCCCCACCGGCCCTCCAGGCGGACACAGCTCCTCCGGTCGCTGGCCTGGGCTGCAAGGCCCGTGTGTGCTGGAGGAGCTGGGCTGCGCTCTGCAACACGAGTTTTCAGCTGTCCCTGTCACCTCAGTCAGTCTCCTGAGGGACGCCTGAGTGCCCGGATGGAGCAGTGGGAGATGACTTCTTTCCTGCTTGCCATGACTTGCCCCCTCTCCTCCTCCTGCCGCCCGCTAGGAGGCCTCGCCAGGCCGGGGGCAGCAGGTCAGGCAGTCAGGTGAGTGTCGAGCAGGCAACCTCGGGGCTCCGAAGAACCCGAGGGCTCTCTCCTCCTCCTAGTTAGTATTTATTTTCAGCACCTGTTTGATGCGGTTTTTTATCCTACCTATTGCACTGTTGTGACTTGTTGGCCATTATTTGATTTTTGTACGAAAAAAAGCTTTGTTATAGAAATCAGCATACTATTTTTTTAAATCTGGAGAGAAGATATTATGGTGACTGAAAAAATTGGTCAGGTGTCAAATATAAATGTATAAATGCCTTGCTGTCCTGTCAGACATATTTTATTCATTTTATATTCGTTGGCAATATTGAAGGTTTCTTTTCTGTTTGTGTAAACTCTAATTTCTATCAAGGTGTCATGGGTTTTTTAAATTAGTATTTCATTACAAAATGTCTGATTGGTTAACTAATTTTTTGTCAGAACCATTATTGATCAAGCAAATAAATTCAACAGCCATTTGGGAAAAAAATTGCTATTTTTGTGCACACTGTTTGTTTCTCTGGAGTATGACTGCCCTGCGACTGGGAGGCAGGTGGTGTCGGTACGTCCAGGCCCAGAGCATTCTCCCCTTCTCACGGCCGCCCAGGCCCGCAGGCTTCCGGGTCCACCCCCCCCACCCCCGTCCCCACCCGCTGGGGCGGGACTGGACCTGGACCTGGACCGGGGGCTGCAGTTTCCCCTCCCTCCGCGCCCCTCCTCGAGCAGCTTCTTGGTGTCTGCCTGCGGCCCACGTACAAGCACGGGGCAGAGTGCCCCCGAGCGGTGTGGCCGTGGGTGCCTGGCTGTGGGGTGTGTTCAGAGGAGCAAGCCCCGGGGCAGCCGAGACTCTGGATTAGCATCTCTGGGATGGGCCAACCTGGAGTAACAGTGAAGTCCTCATTTGCTTTTTGCTCTTTAAAAAGTCCACAGGATCTGTCACTCTTAGATAGCTGGCCGCTTGTCCATCTTAAAGAGTTGGATCCTGCAGAGCTGGGTTCAGTGCTTGAGTTCTGGTCCACAAGGTCCCAGCACTGCTGTGCTCGTGTTTAGTGCCGGGGCCCTGGAGATCTCGGCTTTCAGGACGGGGTCAGCTTCCACAAGGGACCCCGTGCTTGTGGGATGTTTTCCCTGCAGCCATTTGTGCTAAAAACACGTTTCTTTTTATTTAGTGATCTTCACTGAATCAGCACTTCCCTGTGTACAGTAAGTCCTGTATCTGGCCAGTGATAGTTACCGATGTCATGAGCACCGAACAAAGCAAATGTAGGTGTAACACTTCGATGGTAAAATGACTGACACCTGCAGATGCCACATATTGCTAAGTTTAAGTCAACAAAATTGGATATAAAAGAAAAATACTTGGTAGAAGCTCAGCAGTAGTCTAAGTGAACACACAGCCGGAAACCTGGTGGCTGAGCTGGTGAGTTCTTTTTCTTTTTTCTTTTCTCCGGTACCGGGAACCTAACTCACGACCTCGCGCTTGCCAGGCAGGCGCTGCGCCGCTGAGCTGACTCCCCAGCCCCCTGAAGTGGGGAGTGCTGTAGCACAGGTTTGGGACCTGTGGCACTAGGAGTGGAAGCTGGGCCTGCACAAACCAGGTGCAGGTCCACCGCCAGGCTGCACCCCCAGCCACAAGGCTTCTTAAGGAAAAGAATTTCTGCGAGACAATTCAAAGTAATTTCCTGTAGGAAAATGGACAAAGGAATTAAAGTAGCTTAATGGAGATCACTGCAGAAAACTCCTTTCACAGAAGTCAATCACCGGAGTGTCCGTATGGTTAGCGTTCCCAAGGCCAAAGCCTCCAGTGGTTAAGAGAGTTCCGAAGTCACAGAGCTCCTGGCAGATGGCTCGTGGCCCTCTTGCCCAGGTCAGGACCGGCCTCCCCCGGGGCCCCTCCCTGCAGGAGGGCAGGGCCTTGCTCTGACCTCCTGCCTTGGGTGTGGGGTTCAGCGAGAACTAAGAAGCCACACACTATCTTTCCCATTTCTTCCAGATCCAGTCCCTCTGGCTTGAGCCAGGGCGCGTCCTGAGGCCGCTGCGCAGCTCTTGGGTTGCCGGCATCCCTCCTGGCTCGGGCTCGTCCCGGGTACTCGGCACAGGGACCGCACAGTGCCTTGGGCCGACACTGCCGTGCCTTCCCCGCAGGGGTCCGCTCTGGCCAGTGCTGCCGGTGGTCACCCCACCGTGGGGGCGACGCAGCAGGCCGCTCAGCTTGGCAGCGGAGAGCTCTAGGAAAACGCAGGTAGGCGGCCTCCTGATGGCTGCTGGGCTTCCGTGCAACAGTTTCACACAAAGTGTGGCTCCTCCCCGAGCGAGGCCTCTAAGCAGCCAGGAAGTTAGATGTCTTGGGTTTAGGACAGGCAGGAAGACACAGGAGACCCCAGCCTGGGCTTCCCCAGGTCACACGCTGCGGTCAGGGAGGTGGTGATCCTGGGGAGCGGCACCCAGACCTGGGACCAGCCAGGCCAGCCCGGGGCGTTGTGTGCCCTCGAGGGAAGGCGGGGGTTAGAGGGGACCAAGCACGGTGGGCGGACAGGGCTTTTCATTCTTGGCCGCTCACAAGCCTGAGTCTTCCAGCAGTGGCCACCTTGTATTCACTATCCGAGGTGTGGACTCCACTGCGAACTGCTTGTGTGCTGTCCCTGTCAGGCGTCACGCTGTTACACCACGCAGTGGGAGGACCACGTGGCTCGCTCTCACCGTCCCGGAAGTGTTCTCTCTCTTCGCAGGCCCTGCGCGCTAAGGCCGCACAGCAAGAGCCCGCAGCAGGTGAGTCGCGGCGACGCACGGGCCTCGTGCCGGGCCTGGCCGCCCTGCCACACCCGTCGCACTGCCAGGCGGCTGGGAGGAGCGACTTAGCTGTGCGCCTTTCTTTTAGCGTGGGTTTTGGGAGCTCTGGGTGGCAGCAGTGGCCCAGGTTTGTGCAGGGCACTGCTTATCGGGCGTCAGAACAGTAGGAAGCTGCTCACATGCCATCTGAAACAGTCACTGCCACTGCTTCACGACGTGCAGCGCGGTGTTCCCAGGCACCTACGAACTACAACACAAGGGGCAGGGGATTCCAAGGTAGCAGCAGCGGGGAATCTGCGTCAGAGAGACCTACCGCCCCCGCCTGCAGCTGTCGCTCACCTGAGGTGGCCTCTGCTGGGCATCTGTGCGCTCATGCCCAGGTCAAGATGCAGGGAGAACGCGCAGCCCACATGAGAGGCGGCCTGCGTCTTCCCACAGCTTCCAGGGTGTGCAAAGCCCCCCTCACCCGCACGGGAGCGGCCCGGCTTTAGGCCCACGGCACCCTCCCACCCACTGCTGCTTTCCAGAGGAGGAAAGCCCCATGGCAGAGGCCGGCAGCTGCCGGGAGCAGGGGGAGCTCCCTGAGGCCCCCCTGGCAGCCCGAGCCATGCCACGCCGGGACACAGGCGACCCCAGGGACTGCCATACCAGGTGACAGGTACTACGGCCTGCGGTCCCCGCTCTCCACTAAATCATGGCTACAGGTCACAAACCGTGTTTATTCATAGACAAGTAGAAAACAAGTATGCATCTCTTTATAGATCCCATTAATAAATTTTATTTGGACAAGAGGACTTGTACCACGACCATTCTGACAGCATGATTCGGGACTGCAGCACTCCTGAGTAGCCACACAGACGCACAGCGTGTGAAGGAAGTCGCACCTCAGAGCAGACCATGATCCAGTCCAAAACACCTGACAGACACGCTGAGAAATTTCCTTCCAGTCATGACCAGCATGAACAACTCAGGATAGAGATACTGAGCAAACACTCTGCAAATGTGCACAGCAATATGCTGCATTTAAGAGTTTTAAAATCAGATTCTACTTTAGTGTTAGCATCAAGCCCTTGGGAGAAAGCCACACAAATCTTGTTTCCGCCCGTGTGGAACCATCCACGGGCTGCGCCGGGTGGCGGGCTAGTACTGAAGGTCTTTCCCATCGTCTGGCGTGCGTCGCTCTGGCTGCAAGAATTCATTCATCAGCTGTTAAATAGATCCAGGAGAGAGCCCTGCAGGTCTCTGGGAGTCTCATCCCACCCATGAGGAAAACACTCCGCCCTTCAAGTATCAGTCCGTCGGGAAGACAGGAGAGTTAAGGCTTTGGTGACAGTGAGAATCCACTGAGAAATGCTTTTCCCTTCGGGCAAGGTAAGACAGCGTCTGTACTTGCTCTTGACCGTAACCTCGAGGGGCGAGCAGGCTAGGAGTGGCCCGCCCCACTGTCGCTGTCGCCCCCGCCGGAGCAGGCCTGAGGCTGGCGCTGACTAGTAGGTTGAAGAGGCCGTGCTCATGGCATCTTCGGAGATCTTGGTGCTGGCAGGGTGGGTGCTGGCGAAGTACTTGACGTCGCTGTCCTGGTCCATCTGCAGGGCCATGATGGTCTGCTCCACAGCCTCCTGGTGGCAGCTGGCAGAGGCGAGGAAGTACTCTGCAACGACAACACCTGGGTTAGTCTGAGGTGGGTGGCAGCCAGGGGCCAAGTGGAAAGAGTCATTACCGACACGGGACACAGCCAGTCACACCCTGAGTGATCTGCCGGAGGAAGAAGCCCTGACAGTGAGGGCTGTGAGATTTCTCTGGACTATTTTCATGACACGAAATCTCATGACGTTTACGGGAACTAAGGAACATTTAACTCATCAGGGACTTAAAACATTAGGTTTCTTAGCAAAGGAAAATGCTTCCCAATACCAGCTGTGTGTGTGCTCTCTCTGCCTCTCTAAAAACCAAACCAGTCTTCCCTCGCCATTTTGCTTTTACTGCTCTCTAAAAACCTCACACGAATGGCAAGGAGAAAAGCAGCCCTCCTCGTCTGCTGTCTGCGCTTCATCACTGCCTCCCGTGCTGCCCTCCCCAGTGCAAGTCAGAACTACATTGGAGGCTCCGGAGCTACCGTGCGCATGGCCTTGGGGCACGGAGCTTCTGCTCGGTGGAGTGGAGCAGCATGTGACCTGGGCCTCCAGCTGCACACTGGGGCCAGCTAGAACAATGCTAACGACAGGGCAAGGGCCCCTGCGCAGGAGCAGTGTACCCACTCGACGGCCTCTCCCTCACGTCCTCAGAAGCAGCTGTGGAGCAGACCCTGCGCCCCACGTCCCACTTGGCTTCGGCCTCCCGCCTGCATGGCGCACAAGGCTCACACTCGGTGCCGCCCCCTACCTTTCTCCAGCAGCGTCTGTCTCAGCGTCTTGGCGAGCAGCACCCTGACGTTTGGAACCCTGTCGTTGGCCAAGGTGAGCAAGTGTGGCATGAGGTGCACAGCGAACTGGTCCATGGGGAGGCAGTCGTCCTCAATGACAGTCTAGGGGAGAGAGCCGGGGGCGTCAGCGCGCGGCCGGCGAAGCACAGCCAGCACCTTTGGGAGGGTTCGGGGTTTCGACTGTGGGGAGCACCTTGTAAGCAGTCTCCCAAGTGCCTGGGCTTGAACCGAAGTGCCACCACCGGGAGGGGGACAGCAGCAGGTGTGTGTGACACGTAGTCTGACAGGTGGGATGCGTGCCGGTACACCTGGCAGGGGGTGACAGTTGGGGATCCCCTGACACACACCGGACTTTCAGGGACAGAGGCGTGTGCCCCGGCTCACACCCGTGTACACAGAACCTGGGACGGCACATGCCACCCCACAGGTACGGACAATTTCTGCGTCGATTGACAGTGAATACTAAGGATACACGTTTTTAAAAATGACGCCTCTCTGCCTAGACCGCTTTGAAGCTGCTCTTTAGAGAGCAACTGGTGCTGCAGGCTGGCACCTGCAAGCTGTGTGCTCCAGAGTATGGACGTCTCCACAGGTGTCCAGGGTGGCACAGACACCCTGGGACACACGGTACCCACGGGATGGGATGTGCTTGGCTAGAGGGTGGAGCAGCAGCACGGAGCCCTCTCACCTGGCACACGAAGACGAAGGCCTGGCGGCCCGACCAGCGCGGGCACCTGCCGAAGTTCTCCACCAGCTCCCGGATGAGGTCTGTGCCAAAAGTGGGGGGTGAGGCCATGTGCAGCTTCTTCACCATCTCGCTGACCTGCAGGAAGCAGAGGGAGAGAGGAGCACCCACCGGGGACCCACACCTGGTGCCATCAGACACTTGGAGACCTGGTGACAACGTACCAGCTTGTAGGAAATCCAGCGGACGGAGGACACTTTGTCTGCACACAGGTTCAGGGCAATGGGGCGCAGATAGTCGTAAACATCTCTGGGGCTGTACAGCTCGAGAAGCAAGATCAGCTGTCTACAAAGACAGTGAGAACTCAACCGAGTTTGCATGTAGTTAATGTCTAAACACTCTGTAACACTAGGTGCTGAGGAGCCCGCGAAGCAGGCCTCGCCCTCTCCGGCGCTGGCACCGAGCAAACGCACAAGTGTCTCCTGCTCCCTGCATCCGAGGGGGACAGGGCTGTCAGATTTTATTTTTCCAGTAACAGACTGAACCCAGGGTCATGCACGCTAGGCAAGAGCTCTGCCCCTGAACTATACCCCCAGGCCTCTTTTGAGATGGGGTCTCACTCAATTGCCCAGGCCAGCCTCAAACGTGTGAATTTGCCGAAGAGCCTGGTGAAGGCTACCAGCTGCTCATCTGCTGCATGTGGATGTGGCACCCCTGGGGTTCACGTGCTGGAAGCCCAGTCCCCAGTGTGACTGTCCTGAGAGGAGGGGAACTTCCCAGAGTGAGCAGACAGAAGCGTAGGGTCTGCAGGAACGAGTCGGTGAAGCCAATTCCTTTCTGCCTCTCCAGTGCTGTGTCACTGGGCAACGGCAGCACCGTGTGGTCAGCACTTTGCAGCCGGGGTCGTGAGCCGAACAAGGCCGCTTCTTTTACACCTTACTGACATGGGTGCTGCGTCACAGCACATGAAACAGACACAGGGCGGGAGGGAAGCCATGCTGGTTTCCAGACATCCTAGAAGCGCCAGCCCCCAGTGAGGGTTTTTGGTGGGAAAGCCTAGGCTGCCTGGGGACAGCTGCTCGGCGGGGCGGGGTGGGGCGGGATGGGACAGCCTGCAGTGTTCTACCCCCTTGGAGGGAACCCAGGACTTCTGGTACCCCATGACATTGCTCCCTAGAGAGGCCACACCCCTGCTGGAGAGGCACCATACTTGGGTCACCCGGTGAGACACAGCTGGGCGAAACACAGCTCAGGCTGTCACCGGCAGCTGGCTAGCCCGGCTAGGGCACGTGTTAGTCCTCTTTTTGCCATTAACCCCACACCACCCCAGGTCACAAAAAGTGCCAAGAGGTCCTTTAAAAGGTAGACAGTGGCAGGCAGACAGAGGACAGTGGCAAGCAACTGGATGCTCCCTAGGCCCTGCCCAAATGGAGACCCGCCTACCCCGGAGAGACGTGAGCCCCTGCTGGCAGGCGCAGCACAGGGCAGCGCAAGGCTGAGGCAGGAGGCTGTCGCCGGAGAAGCCTGCAGCCCCCAGCAAGAAGGAAGGACACGAGCCATCCACAACAATCCTGATGCCGCACTCACAGCCGGCAGCAGGCAGGACCCAGGGAAGAGGAGGGACACAACTAGCACAGAGCTCACGGGGTACAGAACTCTCAGGACATCGCCCCAGGCAGTAGGGAGCTTGCAGGACTTACTCGGCCAACTCGGCTCGGAAGCGCCAGTTTCTACTATTATCTGTCACCAAAAACTCCTGGAGTTGATACAGATACTCTCTTCTTTTGTCAATATGAAGAAGCTGAAGTAACAACAAAGAAATACTTTTATTTTTTCAGGACGAAGCATAAATGTCGTTCCTTGTACTAGACTGCTTGGGAATGGACTGTAAGTAACATGGGCAGCTCTTCCAAAGAAGAAATTTGGCACCTGTATTTAATGCTTTTAAATTAATCAACGAATCCCCCCAAGTCCCTTCCACCTTCACGAGTCACCACCTCCTCCGGGCTGCCCCAGGGCACAGCTCATCCTGGCCCGGAAGCCTGGGTGTGACTGCGACTCATCAGGAGTGTGACCCGGGGTGGCACAGTAAGGTACACCCCCTGGGTGATTGGTGCACATACCCAGGAACTGCTCCACCAAAATGGAAAAAGCAAGTTTACCGTCACCAAGAGGAAGCCCTCCCACTTGACAGCCAGCGGAACAAACCTGACTGCCAGCTACACAGCAGACCTATGGGAAAGCAGCCCTGCCTGGCCTTGGTGCCCTGGGCACCTTCTCAGGGCTGAGGGTGACCTGGCCCACCCTTCGCGACACAAGGCTGCAGTGACGGGACTGGGGCCATCTGAGCCCAGCAAACAGCTAAGTGCACAAATGTTACTTCAAACGGCTGTCACCTTGAGAAAGGAAAAGAAACAGGAAGTGGGGAAGACGAAACGGGGTGGCACCGGAAGTAGTTCCTGTCAGTGTGAACTAAGGCAGAAGTGGCCGTGTCTCTCTGAGGGACACGCCACACCAGACACACTGTGCTAACATGGCACGCAACAGCCTGTGAATAGGTCTCGTGGTTTCGTGTATTGGTTAAAAAAAAAATGAACCCAATCATGTAAAACCAGGCCAAACCACCCCTTAGCCCCTGCCTCCTGAGAAGGCCCAACAGCAAGGACCCAGGGCCATGGCCTTGGAGGCCAAGGGCTGTGGGGTGGAGATGTGGCTGCCTCCAGGCTGGGCAGGTAAAAAAAAACTGCCTGTACAATGAGAGCAGGCCAGACAGATACACAGGACGGCTTCCAAGGTTGCCAGGACCTGATGCGATGTTTCCACACACGACAGGAATGGGAAATCCTATAGTCTGCACCAATGTTACAAAGTTTTCAAGGGGGGCAGCTTCGCTCACTCGAGACCAGGCCACTCCAGCGCCCACGTGGGAGCCACCGCCATGGCGCAAGCCATGCAGGGCCAGAGCTGTGCGTGAGCAGCTCTGGGACATCACTCGCGAGGGCAGACACCTGGCTCACACGCCTGCATGACACATCCGGAAAGACCCAGAACAGCCCCCTTGGGTGTGATGAGCCTGCCCACAAGCTGGTCACCAGCATCAAGGGCCCAAGGCTTGGAGAAACTACACCCAGGGCCTCGCAGATGCCCAAAGGTGCAGAGAACAGGCCTGGTCTCAGCCTCCGCAGCAAGAGATGCAACATTTACATTCAATGGCTGTTTTCCAAGACGAGGTGACAGAAGTCATAAAGGAAATCACTGAACACTTAAAGAAATTTTAATATAATCTATATAAAATACTGTAACTTAAAAGAAATTATGATTACTTCTGTAACTCAAAGCTTAGAGCTATGGAGTCAATTCAAAGTGCAAGTCTAAGAAAGAAGAGTCTTTCCAGCATAAGCCATTTGTCAAAGGCCAAATCCTTCACTCCAGGCAGCAGGACCTCATGGCAAAAGGGCAGGAAGCCCAGAAGCACCACACATGGTCTCCAACTGAAGGTCGCAGATGCTTCTAACGTATTTCAGTCAGTAATTTTGAAAAATAAAAAGGTACAAGTATTCATCTCCACAGCCTAACATCATTTAACAATGAACTATAGCATAATTTTTAAATTTTAAAATTAAAATGACATAAGGAAAGCTGATCTGATCTGTTTTTCTTTCTAAGTTGTATCTTACCATCAATGCACTGGTTTGTGTCCTTACAAAAGACCAAAAGAATCCCTGTGATCACTAAAAATAGAGATTCTAGGTTTACAATGGAATCTGCAATGTTTCTTTCCAAAAGAATTTAAAAGTTACCTTCAGAAAATCATGCAAGTGTTTAAGGACACCAATCCTGACTTCATCGAGGTCTTTTAAAAATCCATTAAAAATTGGAACCAGATCTGCAGCTGTCAGTTGGTCCCCAAGGATGACTGCGAGCTCATGGATGGAGAAGGCTAAGGTCCTCCGCACTTTCCACTACAGAGATGAGAGCTGCGTTAGCAAGTTAAGCCACAAAACTCTCGGACTCACTGTCCATTCAAAACTTACACCACAATAGGGTAGAAGTAATGGACATTAAGTTGAAACGTTGACTACATATCCAAAATGTGGCAAGTTCTTTAAATCCCTGCACAGCCATCATTTCCCCTTCCTTTATGAAGAAAACCATCTTTAGGAATCACTGACCCTACCGCTTTGTGCCTCTGCACCCTTGATCCCAGTTCACTGACACCTGCGTGTGTCAAAGGCCACCTTGCATGCCCCCGCCCCCCCACTTCTTGGGGATTCCTGTCTGCCCATCTTGGATAAAAAACATGAAATTTGTGTGTATAACTGGCAACTTAAAAACAGGAAAATATTTTTGCAAACAACCCCTGGAAAAGAATGCCGAAACAGAAACGCGCTAACAGGAATCTTTAAAGTACGAACATTTGTTAAGCTCAGGGTGGTGGTACAACTGTAATCCCAGCACAGGAGACACAGGCAGAGGATCAAGGGTGAGGAGGAGCTCAGGGCCAGCCCAGACTATACTGTGCAACCCTGCCTCAAAAAGCAAAGACAAAACCCCAAAACAACAACAAAAAATCAATTATTTTCTCCAGGTTGCATTCACTTACAAATGTGACCTGTCACTCGATCTCTTTACCTATGCGAAGCAGCCCGCAAGGAGGACATCAGCGCCCCCCCTGCGTTAAACGTCTACATACGAGTTTTCCACCTAAGCCAGGCAAAGGCCGAGGGGGAGGGACCACAGGAACACTCTGCAACAGGCCAGGCACCCAGCACCTGGGCTCTGCCCCTGCCCTGCCCTGCCCTTGGGGTCTGGTGCCCGGCCCGCGTCCTGGCTCGCCAGCCTCCAAGTGTGGAGGAACGTGAGCTCCACTCTCCTCAAGTTACTTTCCACTTGCAATGTGCTGAGTCCATGGCACTGATTGCTTGAAAAATGCAGTAAGCTCTGTGAGGGTGAAGGGAAAATCACGCCTCTCTCGGTGTAAGAAGCTCACTGACCACTTCCACTCCACTAGAAGACGGGCTTTCTGTGCAAGAGGAGCAAGCTCCTAGTTCCTGGAACCCACACCTAAAGCCGGGGAGGTTTCAGGTCACCAAAGCAAGGAAGAGAACCACAAAAAAGATGCTAACCAAGGGTGGTGGTGCAGGCCTACAGCCCAGCTCTCTGGGAGGCTGAGGCAAGAGAATCTTAAATTTGAACCTAACTTGGGCCGCTTGGTGAGGTTCCATCTCAAAGTTTAAAAAAAAAAAACTGTTTAAAGGGCTGGGGCTGCAGTTCAGTGTGAAAGTCCTGGTTTCAACCCCAAGTCTGCCAAATTAAAAAAAGAAAATACGTCAGCTGCCAGACATGATGGCTTGCTCTCGTGACGCTTTTCTTTTCTTGCTCATTTGAAGTGGGGTGGAATGCAGGGACAGAACCACCGTCAGCTCGGTGTGCACTCAACCCTCAGGCCCAGGGATGCAAACTGGGCAGTGCTAACAGACCCCAGTGTTCTGTGAAGGCTGGAAGATCTTTGAGAATCTGGTATAAAGACAGAATAAGCATTTGTATCAGGACTTCTAGGGGGACATTATATCCTTAATTCTCAAGAATTAATCTACAAGCCAACTTCAGAAAATACACGTGTTCTAAGCTAGGAATTTAGGCATGTTAATTGTGTCAACTCTGTTACAGAAAGCTGAGAAGCAACTTTTTTTTTCTGTCTTTTTGAGACAGGGTTTTGCTATGCAGTTCAGGCTGCCCTTGAACTCTCTTTGTAGCCCAGGCTGGCCTCGAACTCAACGATCCTCCTGCCTCAGCCTCCCTAGTGCTGGGATTACAGGTGTGTGCCGCTATGCCCAGTGAGAAGCCAAACTCTTGACAAAGGAAGGACAACACTCTGCTATGACTTTGACATCATCTGCACACAACTTCCGGTGACACAAGGTCGGTGCTGGAAGCCCTGCAGTGGTTCTCTGGGTTTTGACAACTGACCCACAGTGCACTGTTCCCTGTCCGGCCTCCCTCCCATCCTGGCAGCCCCACACTCACCTGCATGTCGGAGGCCAGGGTCTCATAGGTCTCTCTCAGGCAGTGCCAGTTCTGCCTGCCGAGGGTCAGGGCTACTCCGGGCAAGCTGTACGCACAGTGCTTGGCGATCTCTGTGTCCACTGTCTGTGCACGGGAGGGGTCAGTCATAGACAAGTACTGATCCAGCAGAGCCTGAGGCACCACGTCCTAGTGGAGACAGGACAGTGTGACAGTGGATTGTTCAGATGTGTCTACAGCTACTGGATTAAGTCAGGCAGAAGTACTTCCCAGTACACGGATCAGAACAGGCTGAATGCTCACGTACCTGCTAGATGAAATAAACACACACTAGGGAAAACACAAAAGCAAAAGCAACTGTAGAACCATGGTGAATATGATCTTAAAGCAGGAAGCAGCTGGAAGCTTTGGGAACTAATTACTAAACTTAACAGATAGCACAAAAGAGGTGGCATACGCGGCACGATCATGTAAGACAGGTTGTCCATGCACCATCACCAACAGTTTGCCACACGATAACCACTCCCTGCAGTGAGACTTTGGCTGTCATATGAAACATCAGAGCTCGTACACGCTTTTGTAGAGTATGAAGAAAAGCAACAGCAACGTACAGCTTGTGATGACGTGCAATGCACCCTGGAAGGAGATGGCAAAGGGTCTGCTGTTCTAGGGAAGCACAGTGGATGAGTGGAAGAGAGAGAGAAACAGAAGTCAAGCCCATTGCCTGCCCCTCACCTACACTATATATAAAAAGTAAATTAAATGGAAATAATCCATTACATGAATGCAGTAAAAGTGTCTCTACAGTGTCAGTGGGGGAAAGCATATTTCCAAACTACGCATACCAATTCCATTTTTACTAAGAAGATAAGCAAAAATGAAGCACATGTACCATCTGACCTATGAAATCCACTACTACTAACCAGGTCCCAGGAGCAAACCACACATACAAAGCACTGTGACACACAGTCTCAAAGCTCACCTGGGAAGTGTCACGACAGAGGAGTGGGGCTGTGGGGTGCTGGGCTGCAGCTCAAGGGTCAGGGCTCTCAGGGTGCACTTGTGACATCCTCACAGTGCATTTTTTATAAAAGGAAAGAAAAGCACAAAACATGCCCCAGTGATTCCAGGTGCGCTCTCTCCACTTTCAAGTTCCTGAAGATGGACTGTGACTCAGGGTCCACTGCACACTACAGTGGCTTCAAGCCATTTTACATGTTCAGTCCTGAAACCGGAGCCATACTTTACGGCAACTTAAGCATGAGCAAAGACCTGGCAGCTTGGATGCTCAAAGCTGTCCTGAAAGACAGCAAAAGTGGCCTCTGATATACTTCTAAATCCCAAAGAACTGGTGGAGCCGTGGCTGGGAAGACTTGTGCGTCTATGCGGCTCTCCACTATCAGAATTTTCTTATTCCAAGCATACCCTAGTCTTCATCTTGACAACACTCATTATGCACAAAGATGAACATGCGTAGAAAACGGGCTGCAGAAGAGGGTGAAGAACCAGCAAAACCGAGAGCGTCCTGTTACTTGCCTGCACTTTGGGTCTCCGCTCCTCGTCTGGGCTGAAGCTGCTGCTGGTGCTCACATCTGAGTCGCTGTGGACGTAGTGAAGGGCGGGGTCCATGCTCTGTGAGGAGAAAGCGCTACTTCAAGAGCTGCTGCTGTGTCTCTCTCACTTCATCTATCCTACGGGCTTACTCACCTTCAAGACTGTCCCCAAGATGCATACAAGCATGCAAACACTGCAGGCTGCATTTATTTATTTACGTTTTTATTTTATACACATGCCTAAGACCTCATAGGAACTCCCGATTTAAATCAACTTGCTGAATTCTCAAAAATGCAAAGTAATTTAAAAGTAATTTGGAAGTGGTCAACATTTCTCAAATTAGTTCACTTATAAAGTGGTACTGGGAGATTCTTTCAATTATCTTAGAGGCTACTGGGTGTCACGGGTACTTTTCTTCTACTACTTCTAGTCTTGGCTGTTAATGCCTAATTTCACAAACACTGTGAGCCAACACCCCCCCATACACAAAACAGAAAGTAAACAAAACTCTTCTAAAATGCAGACATAATCGAAGTGAAATATCGAGTAACTAGCCAAGGTTTCAGTCCAAAACACTGATATCATACACATTTCTAATACACTAGATGTCATCTAACAAAAAGTAGAAATGCACTACAGCTTGAAGAACCCTCACGCTGACCCCAGTGTGTAAGGACTCTTTCCTGAGCCAGGATCTGGGAGCACTGCGTGATGGCAAGGAGGGTGTATTCCCTGTTCATGTAACATGGGAGAAGAAACACACTCAGTGGTGCTGGTTGGAAAGGAATGTGGTGGGAAACGAGGGAAAGAGCATACGAACAGCTACACCTGCGCAGCAAAGACGATGCCAGAACAGTACCCACCCTCACACTCGAGTCCAGATAATGCCACTGGCCTCCGCAACACGGCCTCAAGTCCCGATCTTCTGCTCAGAATACTGTGTTGCTCGCTGCAGTGAAATGGTCCGATCAGAAACAAAGCACCTCTCCAAAAAGAAAAGGGAAGAGTTAATTATTCTTGATAAAGGGCTTTGTTTCCAGTAAGACTATTTCACTGCAGTGAGCTACGTTCACATTGAGTCTAGCAGGATGGGCATAGAGACGGCACGGGCATTTACGCCTCCAGGCATTTACTATGACACTGGTGTCGCAAGGACACGAGGTGGTGAGGACTAGGACTTTTAGAAATTTCATGCACAAGAAGAGCTGCCGACAGAATGTGCTAGCTAAGAAGTGATCAGCTATAGTGTTCCCCGACAACAGACTCCCAGACTCAAACTGCTCCCATCGGCCAACAGCACTGGGTTCGTTACCTCAACAGCAGCGCTGATTAAAGGCACAGAATCATCTTGACTTAGTTTACAATTTGGTAGCTCATTTATACCCGGTTCGTCTTGCAGCTTGCCGCTCTTTTCCACGCCGACAGCCTCCGTGTGGGCATCCAGGCCGGAGGCGCGCAGGGCAGCCGACAGCACCTCCACTTGCGCTGCAGGAGGAGGAAAGACAGTGAGGGGGAGTCCAGCTCTGGGCCATCCTCTCCGGCGCATCGTATGTTAGCAGGGGCACGTGTACTTTTCATACTGCCATCAAAAAGCTGGAAAAAAGTCTACGATGATAAATCATTAGTCCTTGCAGAGAAAAAGGAGAAAACTAATACACTTTCATGGGATTAAAGCGTTTATCCACTACTGTACATTATTCTGCGTTAGTAGGAAAGAGAATGCTATCTAGTTGCCAGAGGTACCTCTGGCTGATTAAAAGGAATCGATTCAGGAGACGTTAACCGTGTTGTGGTAGTGACAAGGCTACTTACTAAGCTACTTTAGCAGCAGAGCAGTCACACAAACCCTGCCAACATAAAACAACGGCATTACAAAGATTCCGGAGGCAGTTACATTTAAACATCTCATCTCATCCCAAGCTTATTTTTCTCTAACTCAGTAATGGCGAACCTTTCAGAGATGAGCGCCCAAACTGCAACCCAAAACCCACTTATTTATCACAAAATGCCAACACTGTAATTGAACCTAAATACTAACGTTTTAGTTTAGAATAAAACAACTCATACATGAACATCTTTTGTCTTAAAAACAAACACGAGCGCCACCTCTGCTCTGACTCTTTGAAAATGAAATCATTACCTTGCCCCAAACACAGGGGTCCCCTACAAGCACTGCCAGGCTCTTGGCAAATCAGAACTTACCACGCAGTGGTTCCTTAACCTGGCAATTACTACCTTCCTCATAAAAGACATTGAGAATGGAGAAAAAGCATTTTCCATTCAGCCCCCAAAGAAATAAGTTATCAAAAAATATTGCTTAGCATTTTATGCAAGCAATTAACTTGCAGAAATGATTGATTTTCAAAATATAAAAAATTTTAATTAAAATGTATGTAAACAAAATAATCAGCAACTACTTAAGACAACCTATTAATAAGCTACAGCAGGCATAAAGTTTCTCTGATCTAAGTACATTAAATACCAGGCATACACACAAGGAGGCTGCATCTAGTCGCATACTCTTTGGTAAACAGGGCCAATTGCGGGTGTCTGCTCATGGAGTGTTCCGGGGAGTACGCTCGTCTTGTTCAAAACTCCAGGAGCTGTCTGCACAAACCCTTCAGTTACTCTGCCCTGCCCCCTTTCTGGTATCTTTCAAGGTCCCCCATCCAAAGCCAACAAGACTCAAGGAGAACACATGCACGGATCCTTACCTGACCCACCTGGAGAACAGTGGCAGCTGCTAAGCAAGGCTAGGCTGAGGGGGCTGGCATTTTTGCCCTGTGGTTTTCAAGGCTGACTATTTTCCAGTTAGGTCTTATTTGGGGAAAACACAGTGCCTCCTTCCGGAAAATGAGCTAAGATGGAGCCTAGTGCTGACTCCAGTCTCCCGCTAGAAGAGGAAGAAGCTTGTGCTCTCAATGTGAGGCACTGTCGCAAGGAATACGGGGAGACAGCGCACAGGGGTTTACCTACCTGCCTTGTACCTACGACACAGACCAAAACCCTAGGAAACAGTGATGCGCAATGGATTCGAGAAATACATCTGCAGGCAACACTGAAATCTGCTGCTGGTTTTCTTACCAGGCTCTTAGGTGCTATTCTGAGACAGCTGCTAGGATCATTAGTGGGACAGTGGATTTCCAAAGCATGTCTCAAAGACTAGTGCCAGGCCCTGGAGCGGCTTCTCTAGGCAGACGAATCGTCAGCTTTGCCTGTAAGACCCTCACTCACCTCACGACACAGAAAACCCTGACAGGCAGTGGGGTGCATACCCAGGCAGAGCTCAGCTCTCAGTGTGGGATAAAAGCTCTGCCTCTGAGAAACACAGTGTCTTGTAGAGTTTGAAGGAAATGACTGTCCTACAATAGCAGACTAAAAAGAAAAAGGCCACCAAATTGTGTCAGTCTCACTATAAAGTCAAAACCCGTTCTGAGGCGAGGAAGATCAAGGCAGTTACTTGAGTTAGGACGATTAACATCCCCCAATCCCAACAGAGGAAAATGTTCCAGAGCTCTGCAGCCTCCACAGCTCGGCCCAACACAGCGACCCCTTCTGTCCTCCCGTCTGCGGTGGACAGGAGCCTGGGTTTGTGCACTCCTCGCCTGGGACCGTCCCCGGCCCCTCGGGCTACTGACCGAAGACCTTCAGACAGACAGACAGGATGCAACAAATTACACTGTACAAGCCCGAGAGCCGAGTCAGAAACAGAACTGATGACGTCACAGGCAGTATTTATACTGAAACCTCTCCGCTGCGTACAGTTCTAGGGCACGCAGTACATAGTACTAGCCACTTCCGCCACCACAGTCACTCTGAAACTTCCATGTATGCACAGGTCTTTAAAAAACGAACTATGGAAAAATATTTTTAGCTTATTTGTTAAAAAGCCGTAAAGCAGCTCATTCAGTATTTCAGTTAGTATGTATACAGTGCCAGAGAACCAGTCAGTGCTGTCATCCAATGAGGGCCCCCAGAACAGGCTGGAAGACTAGCTGGCAATTCACCTGAGATAAAAAGGAGTTTAAGAAAAATGAAATATGACAGTTACTGAAGTTTGATGCACATTATACAATTTAAGCTAACTACAGTAACGAACAGCTGAAAACTGTGAAGAAATTGAACACTTATCCAAAGTCCTTGCTACAACCAACCCTCACTGTAGGTGGGATTCTCTGTGCTTGATTCTCCTCACGGAAGAGAGGGACACTACAGCAGGATTCGGTCAAACAAAATAAAAACCTCAATACTGGCTCTATCATCAAGTTGTCACAAAAAGCAGAAAACTGGCTCATGGGAGTAAAAATCTATGACAGGGCCACAAGTGAGGAATAAAATAAAAAGCACAGCTGTCATGCTTCCATAGAAACACACTGGAGTATCCTACTGAAATCACCCAGTCTCTTTCCTACCCTAGCTCAGCAAGTGACAGAAAAACTGAATGGCCAGTACACACAGTCATAAGGACCTATGTCAGACACGCTGCATGGGGCGGCACATCAGACACGCTGCCGAATCCCATTTATGGGGGGTCCAGAAAAGTGAGATCACAGCTAAGCAGGCTGGCTGAGGGGCAGTGGGAGGCTTCATGTGAGAAGGGCGCACGCCACGTGCTGCCATCTGGGTGACGAGTGTGTTACACAGCAACAAAATCAAATCTGACTCGTGTAAGCCAACAGCTCTTAAAACATCACATTCCACAGAAAACAGAAACCTGTGTCCACTGTCAGCAGACAGCAGTCTTTCCTTGAAAAATAAGAATACTGTGTCTGCTATTTTATAGAAAGGCTAACACCATCCAGAACAAAACAGGGCAGGGCTCAAGATTTTAAACTGCAAATACAAAGCTCTGAATAATGGTGAACATTTTAGAGAGGGATTTTAACAGGTGTATGCATCAATCTTAAAAGACGGCAGTTTGCCTGGAAAACGTTTTTTTCGAAGTTGCAGCACTTTGCAGATCAGTTGCAGAACTGAGAACTTGACTGACGCTTCCTACCTTTAACATCAGGATCATCGATGTGGGGCTCTAGGTTTTCTATCATTTCCTCCAGCTCCTTCCTGGTGGCCATGCTGATGTTTGGAGAACCCAGCTCGGGGTCTTCAGGGCCCTCCTCTGGCCTCTCCAGGCCAAGGCTCTCCCCACAGTCCTGCTCCAGCTCAATGTCCAGGTCTATTTCAGGAAGCGGAGTCCTCCAGAAATGGAAGGAGTTGTACAATTCCTGATCCAGGAGGGCTGAGCCCTGCGCGGTGCCAGCTTCCAGCTGGAGTGCAGACTTGCAGCCATCAGGCTTTCTGCCCTTGTCACCGCCAGGCGCTTCTGGACGAGACTCGGAGGAGAAAGTACAAAGTGAAGGGCTGTCTGCTGGGCCCCTCGGCTCCTGCGCAGAGTCCTTCGGGGCTCCGGCTCCACTGTCCTCCAGGGTGCACTCCAGCCTGGCACCAGGGCCAGGGACACTGAGGGCTGCAGGGACGTCCTCTGGTGTGTCTTGATCTCCAAGCCTTTCACTGTTTCATTGGGAGAAATAAAACCAACATGGAAGTATAAAAATGATTACTGGAAATGATGACTGGAACGTAACTTTAGGTGAGTTAAGTATTACAATGACAGACTATCCATACAGAGATGGCACAGTCCATGCACATTGTGTATATTGCTTTTTTCCACCAGGTCTTGTGTTCAGAGAAGTAAACACTTGTCAAGCGGGAGTCTAGATACTAAGCACTATTACTGGGTGGAGATGGTAACATTTAAGAATCCTGGGATTCACAATACCATGCTAATTTCAATACTAGGTAATTAGAGAAAAAAGTAGGAAGTAGAAAACTTTATGGTGCATCTTAAGGTACATAAACATTTTACATAATTTTCAGGACTCTTTGTATTACCACTCTGCTCCAATGAGACAGTGAAAGCTGAAATAAAGCTTTTATGTAAGAAAAAGGAGGAAAAAAACTATACAACTGTATGAAAGATACTTTGTATCCCACAAAATATATTAAAATCTGTTAAAGTATAAAGGATTATTTTTCTTTCTTCCACAATTTTCATCTCTACTCCCAAGGGTCTTCTCAAAAAGGAAGTAATGACTTAGGTGCTAAGGACAAAGGGTACAAGTTCCTAATTAAAACCCACTGATTACTAACTGCCATCCATTTTGTTGGTATATCCTATATTTTATTTTATTCAATTAAGCATTTACTGAGCACCTACTAGGAGCCAGAAAATAAAATCAGTTTTGAATGTGAATGAGATGCAGATCTTGCTCAGATCATGGTCAGGGGCGAACAGAAGAAACGGGCAAATAAACGAATTCCCACCAGACAGGGCGGCAAGCAGGGAGGGTGCACGCTGAGCAGGGGCAGAAATGCTGATTAAACGTCCCTGCGTGGCCGAGGGAAGAAAAGGACACGAGGAAGACCCAGCCCCCGAGGCTGGATTGACAGGCGCCATACACCACATGGTGCTCAGAAAACAACGATCCCCGGTGCTGAGCAGCACAGCGACACCCAAGAAGGGAAGACGGCTCGGGGTCCACTGTGCCCTGGAACTTCTCCCACGAGTGGTGGGAGATGAGAGATGTGTTCCTTTGCAAGACCATTCTGGAAGCAGAGGAGAACATGAGGTGGAGTTCTGGACGAGCCAGGGCAAGATGCTCACGCTTGGGGCTCCGGAAGTCATGAACACCACCCAGCGGTGCCAAAGCCAACAGCACACAGGGCCTCACTTCACACTGCAGGCAAGAAACAAAAGGGGAGTCAGGGAAGATCCAGACCGCGGCCGCGGCAACCGCACAGACGCTGCCAGTGCCAATAAAGAGGAAACCGGAGTGGACGTCTGATGGAGAAGCTACGCTCCAGCAGGGCGGGGCTGGGTCTCTGGGGAGAACCACATGGTGATGTCTAGGAGATACTGGAAAGAGGTGAAGAATGGAGAGGTGGAGCGCACGGACTGACTCCCCGAAGATGTAAGAAACATTAACGAAGAAAAACCGGACCACCCTAATGAAAAGAGTGAAGGCATTTTTCTTATAAAAGGGATGGTAAAAAGGGGCATGTGTTTAGGCTGAGGAAGAGAGGCTAGAAGAGATGGAAGAACTGAGACAGGGACACTGACAGCATAACTGATCAGATACTCTCTGCGGAGAAAACACAAGCTCAGAATAAGCAGCAGCAGGATGTGATGGGGAATGCCTGTAATCCCCAGGACTCTGGGAGGCTGAAGCAGGGAGATGGCAAGTTCAAGCCCAGCCTGAACAAGGGGGTGAGCGAAATTCTGTCTCAAAATTTAAAAAGTCCAAATGTAAAGGCCTTGGATTCCATTTCCAGCCCTGCAAAACATAAAACACACACGGGGGACATCACTAGGCAAAGAGACACCTTGTTTTAAGAAATATGGAGGGAGATAAGGATGGCAGTTTGTAAGGTGACTACGGGGGAAAATTAACGTCTCCTTAAATGCCATGTGCCTTCAAATACACACCATAAAAGACAGAGAAGCAGAGGCCCTCGAGGAGAAAGGAGAGTGATGTCCACAGCGACTGGGGCCCCAGGGAGGCAGCGCCATGTGCTGTGCACACTCAGGAGGCCCAGCTCCTCCTTGGCCTAACTTTCACCTTGTTTTCCAAAGCACACTCGCGGAAATACTGATTACTGAAAATTTTTGATTTTTTTTTTTTTGGTACCAGAGATCGAACCCAGGACCTTGTGTTTCCCAGGTAGGCACTGCACCACCGAGCTAAATCCTTAGCCCTACTGAAGAGTTTTAAAATAGATAAATAGGAATGTACATAAATGCTCTGAACACATACCACACAATGACAGCATTTTCAGTTCCGGTGTCTCCCTCCTGTTCCCTAACTGTCCAGCTCTAGTGTGCACACAGCACCACTGTGTGACAACTGAGCACACGGCCTGCACACCCTCACCTACGAGACCACTTGCAGGGAGCCAGGACGCCGCACCTACCCCACCTACCCCTCACTTGCAAAGCGAGCTCTGCCCTAGGTATCCCGTAAGATCCTGTCCCTCAAAGAAGAGCTCAAGTGGTCTTCTGCAAAATAAATGTGCTTTCAAATGTAGCATTTTCCAGCCATTTGTTCTTTATTAAAAAGCCCATTTTTTATACAGAACGTTTATGGTGAAATTTGAATAAACTACAGATTAGATAATGTATCAATTATTATTATTTTTGTTTTTTGAGACAGAATCTCACTGTGCAGTCCATGCTGGCCTTGAATTCACTATGTAGCCCAGGCTGGCCTCGAACCCATAGTGATTTTCCTACCTCAGCCCCTTGAGCGCTGGGATTACAGGTATGCACCACCACACTCAGTTTTAATTTCTTAATGTTAGTTATGTACCACTTTCTATGTTCTCAAGAAATACACACTGAAATATGTAAGAGGTAAAAAGCACATCCTGTTCAAAACTTACTCTCACAGAGTTTAGAAAAACAGTAAGGCATATGTGGTAAAATAGTATTTGACAAATTTGAATAAAGGGAGTATGAGATTCTTTCTGTAATTTTCTATATTTCTGTAGTTTTTCTAAAATCATTCAAATAAATTATTTTAAAGTAAGAGGATGGAGAAGAACAAAAGGGTAAAGCATAAAAGACTTTATTTATTATCTGACAAATTTAAGGAACTTCCATTTAAAACACATAAAAAAGCCATAACTAAATGGCTGTCCAGAATGTAAAATTATTCTAGGGGATTGAGTTCTCTGATCACTGTCTCACCAACATGAAGGTTAAATTTCAATCTTCTTAGCAACAAAATCCCATGGAGATGACTGAACAAGTTTTTCTACTCACCTAAAAAATGCAAACTTAGGAGTATGTCCAAACATCAAACTCACAGTATGGCTTTTAAGAGAGAAATACAGGGCATGCAAAGGTTTTTCCCTGGTATTAAATTCTGGAAAGAATTACTGCATTCATGGCTTCAAACTGTCAAAAGTGTAAATTCTCTAAAACCCGATTTTCCCAAAGGTAGGTTAGTCAGTGTACACCAAGCTACGGAATGGCAAACCCTCAGGTCTTCTCCTGCCAGACCTCTAGGCGCTGTTATCCAAGGCACCTGTGCCTGTGAAACCGAGGAGACCAGAGCCCTGCACACAGGGCCCCTGGAGAGGCGGCAGGGCCCCCTAGAAGTTTCTCTCAACAAGAACCTTCACTGTCTTTCCAGGTGATATCCTCAGAGCTGCCCCAGAGAGGCTCTGGTATCCAGAAGACACAATTCAGGTATTTCAAGCAGAAGATGAGCCCGAGGAAGTCTAGCTCAAGAGCACTGGGTTCAGAGAGGAAGCAAAGAACACTCCAGGACACAGCGTGCGAGCACTGTCCTGCATATTAGCTCCATCAAGCACAGGGTTACCCCGCTGGGGTGTAACTGTTGGTGTGTGCCAGTAACAACCAATTTCATTCTTGCATACACAGCAGTAAGCGCAACAGACAAGTGGTTCAGTTAAGGTTTTTGAAATCAAATGTACTGTTTTTCAGATAATTTATTTAAGATTAATAAATGCCAACTATGTGCCAGGCCCAGCAAAGGTGCTAGTATAAACAACGATAAAAACTAGACCTAGCCCACTGCAGCCTGCTGTACAACACACAGAATTACACAATTAAGACACGATTAAAGCTGAGGGCTCTAGTCCCAGGGCTGCTGGTAGCAAAGACAAAAAACTCTCGAGTTCCCCGGGAAGCAGGAAAGGGCTCTGGGAGAAGTGACCCGCAGGAGTGCCCACACTGCTGTTGCCTTTGTCCAAAGAAGGTAGAGACAGAACAGGACAGCTTCCCAAACAGGGCAGCAAGGACAAAGGCAGGAAGAACCAAAGAACTCAGTGCATTTAAAGGCCAACATAACTCTAATAAATGTAAGAGAAAGCTTATTTTACACTTTGCAAGTCTGAACATTTAATTCTCTTTCTGAAAGTAGCTAGAAAAAGCAGGAATAAGCCTGATGAGGTGAGTAAAAGATAAACCTGGTCAATTCAGATGTTTGCAGTCATTCAGTTCTTAGGACACTAGGGTCTGAGGCCAGCATGAAATGCTATGCAATGAACAAGTGGCGGTGGGCACGTAGGGTCAAAGATGTGCTTGCTTCCATTCACTTGAGAAACTGGAATTCTAAGAAGCTGAGAGGACCTCAGGACCAGGGGCCAAGCTGCAGCTTTTCCATTTATGGTGGTTCAGAGTAGGTGCTCAGTGAAGTGTGCAAAAGCAATCAATCAACATAACAGCACAGCAGCTTTAAGGTAGCTTAGAAACCAAAGCTAGTGCTGTGTTTGGGGTGGGGGGTGCTGACTGTTAATAGCATGCAGGACCCCTCCTTTATGATGCTAGAAGACAATGTGTACAAAAATGTTCACAGTATTGAACACAACTCCTTCCTTAGCCAGGGGCTCTCTTCCCTGCACCACACAACTCAGTAACGCCTGGTGCTACAGCGAACACCTGATGCTATAAATTGCACTGACCTGGCCATGAGACATATAGCACATAAAGAATTGAGGAATTAAACTACGTTTAAGTAGTTCTTCCAACACAGGGCCAGTCAGCAAATGTGGCCTTAACAGCCCATGGACAGGCTTTCACAAGTCTCACTAGAACACAGCCAAGCCCTCCATCTGTGCCATGCCTCGGCTGTTCGATACCGAGATGGTGGTAATATTTACCAGCTGGCCCTGTGCAGACCCTGTCCTACAAGGCTCTCTGTGTTAGGCCTGCACTTCCGAGGCCCTCTCTACATTTCAAAGTAAGTTACACAGTCTTTGGTACACTTAAATCAATAGTAAAGTATGCCAACTTCAAAAATGAAAAACGTAACATTTCCACCCCCCATCATTTGTGTCAAGCTCCTTCCAGCAGCTGTTTTCAAAAGAACCAAGACTTTGCTTGTGAGGAAGACAGGGTTAGAGAATGAGGTTTCTTCCTTTACAAAAAACAGTACCTCGCGTTTGTTTGGCTATTCAGCAGGACAGGAGGAGAACAGGCAAAAAGGGAAAACAAGGCAGCAGAGAAGAAAGGAAGAACTGCCAAATCAAAACACCAAGAAAGCAAATATCACAGTATCAAGACCTACAGAAGAAAACGTCTGTTAGCATCATGACAAGGGAGGGACAAGGCACTACGTCATCTCAAGCATTGCAGTAGGGACCGTTCCCAAAGTACGTACCCAGACCAATTACTTTACGTGCAAAAATTTACACTTTATGCACATTCCCATGCTTAAGGTCTAAACAGTTATTTCCCTAAGAATACATTTAAAACTAAAATTCACTTGAAAACTTTTAATGCAAAAAGTTTTATAAAGTAAGTATCAGAGTTGACTTTTTAAGCTTTATTGAAAAATCTGGCTAGCACCGTAGATTAATATATAAGTGATATTTTAGTTAATAAGGAAATGAATTTAGGGCTAATCATTAAAATGCTCAATCCCTCAAATGAAACACTGTAATTATTCTGTAGGCAGAGAATCCACTTCACATTGTTAACTGACTGAAAGGAAAAATAATAGAAATGGACAATATGCAAAAAAAATCCTTAAACTAGGCTTTACTCCTTAATAACAAATTTTTAAGAAACGTTTAAAGAGTATAAGCATTATCTTTTATATTCTAAATATCAATGAACAGTTGCTAGGTAAATAATTTATTAAATAAGCTTATTTAAACAATATAAAATCTACCATTTAGTTTTCTGTGTGCAAAGACATCAAGCTAAGTAGAGTATATGCATCTTCTAATTTAATATGTAACTACCTGAAGAGATAACTTTTATCTTTTATCAATAAAATTTTATGAAAATATTAACCGGTTTTTACTTTTAAAAGAAATGGTAAATACTCCAAGAAGAATATAAAATTGCAGAACTGATGCTCACAAACAGTAAATTTTGAAAACAACGTTTTAAAATTATACCTATTTTTATCTTCTGACACATCTTCTTCTGAACTTTTGCTTTCTTCTTTAAAATACTGGCCTGAGCTAGATGGATTAGCAAAAGTTGATATGAAAGGTCCCAGGGACTGAAAGGCTGCTTGGCGAACCTAGGAAGGAAGGAAGGAAGGACAATCATGTAAGAACAAGAGCTGTTTGTTTTTTGGTGGTATGGGGATTGGATCCATAAGGCCTTCATGAGCTACATCTTGAGCTACATCTTGAGCTACATCTTCAGCTCTTATTTTTTGAGACAAGGTCTCATTAAGTTGCTAAGTTATCTACGCTGAGCTTAAATTTGTGATTCTCCTGCCTCAGCTTCAGAGTACTGGGATTAGAGGTGTGCACCACCCCACTCTGCAGAAGTTTTTTTTTTTTTTAAACACACATCTATCCCCATATTTAATCATCTACTTCCTATATACCAAAGTTGAAGTATGTTTGGGATAATAATAAAGCTTTTCTAAAAGAATCCCAGATGCTAAACTATAAATCATTTTTCAGCTGAGATTTAAAAATCTTTACAAATTAGTTTTTCTCCTTTACTTTCAATTGTTATTCTGCATTTATATATTTAAATCATCATAATCTAAATATGAGATCTTGTAATATTTGCCTATGGTATATCTTTAAAAACAAATCTTTTTTACCCCAAGGGAAAAAAATAATGAAAGCCAAAATGACCAAACAGAAAATAATGGCAAGAAAGCCAACAAGATGTGCTCCACCCACTGAAGGTTTCCAGGCAGGGAGCACAAGTCCATCCGCAACAGCACTGCAAGGTGTCTCCGCAGACCAGAGGGACACAGCGCTGTTACCCGTGAATGCCATGTGGGAGGGCTGCTTACAGAAGCCCACTTCGTGTTTGCTTCTCTAGTATTTCTATTTATTTTTTATTTATTTTATTTTTTTTTTTGTTTTTCTCCGGTACCAGGAACTGAACTCACGACCTTGCGCTTGCCGGGCAGGTGCTTTGCCGCTAAGCTAAATCCCCAGCCCCGCTTCTCTAGTATTTCTAGATCAACGTTAAAACACTAGAGCTGGGCATGGTAGTGCACACTCGTAATCCCAACACCCCACAATGCTGAGGAAGGAGGCTCCCAAGTTCAAGCCCAGCCTAGCTATAAGGACTCCCCCAAACTCTGCCTCAAAATAAAACAGCACGTTCACACACGGCCTCGAACTCAGGGCAATGCTCCTCCCTCAGCCTCCCCAGGTGCTGGGATTACAGGCACGCACCACCAAGCCCAGTCTCAGTTAGATTTTTAAAAGGCTAGAATTACATGCTTCACAGGACAAAATAAACACAAGAATCATTTTACCCTTTGTAAGGCAACAAGCATTCGTTTCACAAAACATACAAAGGTTACTTTTAAAATTGCATGCATGGGCTGAGGATATAGCTCAGCAGTACAGTGCCTGCCTGGCAAGCACAAGGTCCTGTGTTCCATTCCAAGTACCAAAAAAACCCAGTTACATGTATGAATTTATTATACTCTGGATACTGTATTATCTCTCAGCTTGTTACCAATTAAAGTCAGAAAAAATTAAAACCACCCACTAAGAAAGGCCCAGGCCCAAGTGGCTTCACCACAAGATTCTATCAAAGATTTAAAGAAAAAATAATACCAATTCCTCATGAACTAGAAGAAACAGAAAATGAGGGAAAGAGAAGAGGAGGGAACATTTCCTAACTCCTTTTACGAAGCCATTATGAAGTAGTAATAAATTATTACTATGGTAACAAAAACCCAGCAAAGTCATGTAAGAGAGCTACAGAGCAGCTCTCTTACGGCATGAATGCAAAGACCCTTAACAGATCACTAGCAGCGGAAGTGAGCCTCACAGCAGGAGCAGGGCAGTGTGTCCAGGTGTCCCCCACCCGGATTACATCACCTAGCAACACGAGGTCAGCATCTAAGCCAGTGACAATCACACAGCACAGCAATGAGGGAAGACCTGCGCAATTCGTGCTCACAAGGAAACAGTGTCCAGTTACCAGAAACAAACTCCTGATACAGGAGTCTTTCTACTGTCTAGTCTCCAAAGTATGAACTGACAGTAACATAACCTGAATCACAACATATGCATCTATTTAGTTAGCAGTAAGGTGAGCTGAACCCGGGGCCTGGTGCACACTAGACAAGCACATTCCCACTGAGCCATGTCCCTGGCCACTTTTTGTTCCATTGTTGAGACAGAGTCTCACTCAGTTGCCCAAATTTACAATCATACTGCCTCAACTTCCTGAATACCCGGGATCACAGGAGCGTTTCACCATGTCAGGCATAAACTATTTCTGAAATTATGAAATGTTTACTTTAAAATACTCAAAAGTATAATTTTATTTATTCATTTATTCCCCTCCCCGCCGTACCATGAATTGAACTCACGACCTCACGCTTGTTAGGCAGGCGCTGTGCCGTTGAGCTAAATCCCCAGCCCCAAAAAGTATAATTTTATAAGAATGATATACAGTCATACCCAACGTGAAGGATCACTGATCAAATTAATAAACAGTGCTGATAACTTGGTCCGTCGGATTTCTTGACATGTTGCACATGAGACTGCCATGAAGCATTCGGCACACGCCTTGCGGACTCCCCACACATTGTCAGAGCAAAGCTGGAAAAACCTGGGCAGCTATGCCAGAGGAGGTTGTGTTAGTCACACGGACAGGGCTCTGTGGCAACTTTGCTTCCATTTCCTGTTCCACAGTCTTTTAAACAATGGGTTTTCTTAAGTAGGAAATTCTTTAACACTAATATTTAGTAATTTTTAATAAACTACATCTAATTCATAATTCACTATACAAACACAAAAACACTCCCCACAAATGGAGCTCCGTGTCACCCAACAGCCTGTACCTTACACTCCACAGACACTGCAGACACTCGTGACAGTGCGACCTGAGAGTGCCAATCACACGTGTCGCATGCAGTATACTCAGAACTAATTGGCTGTGGATGGAATGTGCCACCAAAAACTCGAGGGTTACAATAAAAGTAAGGTTCAACTCAAAAAATCACAATTGACTTACTTAATAGAAGTAGTAAAAGTAAAAATAATTCTGTGCTTCACCAACTGTCATTAGCAAAGCACAGTTCAAGTGCCCAGATTACCCAAATTTAAACTTCTAAAATTCAAGTCATTGCCACCTTTCTTGTCTAAAATCGTGGGTTGTGCTAATACAATCTCGGGGTGAATGCATTTCAGGCTGCACGCACTACGTTGCTTACGTTTTTGTACTTGCTGTGCTTACCAACATTTCCTCAGTGGCTTGCTGGCCAACGACACTGCAAATATCCCCAAAATTGGCGGCACAGACCTGACAACAAAAGCATCACTGGTATTTCAAAATATTAAGATACATGGAGTTCCTTAAAAATAATCTATTACATTTCACACATCAGTACACTACCCGTGAGAACTCTATGCTCTTAAACAGAAGGCAAGGGACTCTCACAATACCTTCCGAACGTGGAACATTCTGCAGTCGCAGCACATCTCACAGAAGCGAGGGAGGATGAGGCGTTCCGTGATGTCCTTCCCAACCATGGGCGCCATCTTGCACATTATCTACAACAGGGAAAGGAGCACTGCAACTATCTTTAAGGCTTTCTCAATTACAATAACTCAGATCAACACTAGGATGTGGCACTGTTATACATGTATCACAAAACACACCCCTAGCCAATTATTACATTTTTCTATCATATTCCAAGAAGGAAACAAAAACAGATACTAAGTGATACCAGTAAAATTAACCGATACATACCAAAAATAAAGAAAACCCACAGAAAATTCTAAAAATTTCATTTCAGTCCACATTATTTAATCATCATTAGTTAATAATTTTGCTGATAACGTTAAAAGTCAACAACAAAACTCTATTTTTTACAGTGACTGTTGTAGAGGATCTGGACTGAATATCCCTGCACTGCAGAGCAGACTGCACACACAGGCAGCCGTGCCCCGCACAGCACCATATTAAATCAAACTGTGACCTAATTCTGCAGTTTCAGTTCAAGGAAAGCCAGGACACAGCTCCACCTAAGTGAGGAGGATTAACTTCACAGGGAAATGAGCTCTCTATTACTGAACTATACTCCCCTCACACTTCATGTACAGCTAATATAAAAGCTACAGAGCAGCTCTCAGCACAGTGATGGTCTATCATCGTTTACCAACTATACCTATTCCTTAACTGGAGAAGTATGACAATACAAAGTAAAAGGCACACAGAAAGGGAAGAAAGAAAGTGCGCTTTATTCGTACATGACATGCTGTCTACATAGAACATCCCAAGGAATCTATAACGAAGCCACCAGAACAAATAAGTGGGTTTAAGAAGGCTGCAAGAGCATGGCGTGGTGGCGCACACCTGTAATCCCAGCACTTGGGAGGCTGAGGCAGGAGAATCGTTGCGAGTTTGAGACCAGCCTGGGCTACAAAGTGAGCTCAAGGCCAGCCTGAACTGCATACTGAGACCCTGTCTCAAAAAGACCAAAAAAAAAAAAAAAAGAAAGCTACAGGATATATATTGGAACATTAAAAATCTACTGTTTCTACTAGCAATAAAAACTAGAATGCTTTTAAAAGTTTCACAATAATGTTAAAAAACAGGAAATCTAGAAAAATACATGTAAGATGTTTCTCCCAAATATTATAGAACAATGACAATATAAATAAATACATAAACGGAGAGATGTATCATGTTCATACACTGAGGCTTGCAACTCCCCTCAAACTGATCTACAGATTCAACACAATGCCTAACCAAATCTCAGTATCATCAGAACTGCTGATATTATGTACATTTTCTAAGACCCAAGGCCAGCTTTGTTATTGGAATAACCGTTACCCAAAACCTAGTTAAAAACACCAAGTTATACTGTATCACTCACCTAGGACAACTGAATTTATTAGTATGAATTATTCCTAAAAAAGGGACTAAGTGGGAGCCAATGCAAAGCACACCATGCCAAACACAAGCCAATTGTTAAGCGGCATACTAGTGCTGGGCAGTCTTGTACTGGAATGTTTTGTTACTTTTAAATCTTATCAAAAATTGTAATACAGCAAAGTTCAGCTCTGCTTAATATAAACCAGCAGTTATGCCCACTGTGATTTCTTACCGAGGAAGTTCTAACGATGCTTTAAATTTAGGCAGAAGCAGTCATTGACTGAACAGTATACTTTTAAGATGACTAATTTTGTTATGTAAATTTCACTTCAGTAAAAATACCACTGAGCTAGGCATGGTAGCGCACGCTTGTAGCCCTAGCATTGGGGGGGCGGGGGCTGAGGCAGAAGGATCACCATGAGTTTGAGGCCAGCCTGGGCTACATAGTGAGTTCAAGGCCAACCTAAATTACACAGAAAAACCTTGTCTCAAAAAATAAAACAAAATAAATCACTGAGAAAAAAAAAAAATCTACATTTATTTACTGGTAACTATCTAAAAATAAAAAAATCAGGAAACTTTTCAAGAGAAACTAACTAGAGGTATCATCTAATTTATGATCAAGAAGCACCATAACATTTGAGTGCAATTTTTTTAATAGCAACGAAGATACAATTTTAGTACTTTAGGTATAAAGGGTGAATGCTCACTATCCACACAGATTTGAATAATTTTCAGATCAATTTATCACTTTCCTAATTTACTATCGGAATTCTTAATATCTGAACTCAAGTACCACAGATGTGCATCACAACAGATACTACTACACTCTAACTCATGCCCTATTTATTTATCATGGCCTTTGAATACTTAGAATATTTGCTAACCATGTATTAAAAAAAAACACCATAAAACCTACTATTCACCTTGACTTCACTATGTGCACAATGGCTTAACAATCTGCATACTGGTTTAATAATTACTGCTGATTACTCGCACGACTGTTCTCACAAACATCACAGTACGGGCAGGAACCACGCCCTGTGTCTTTCACTTCTGCTGTCCTCATCTAGTGTCTAGAAAAACACTTAGCAGCAATTGAAGGCATTCAAATGGTGTTGAACGGCACTTGTGGTACACATCTTATTTTTCCATTTTGACAAAATAATGCATTTACAGTTCCTTACTACTGTCTAACTGTGTGGAGGTCACCTTTTTCCTCATAAGCCTCAGTGTCCCTGCCTAGCTGCACTGTATTTCAGATTTAACAATTTGTGGCTACCTCATCAGGAATGTGTTACATGAGACAGGCTCTCCTGACAGGTGATGAATGTATTCTGCCTGCTACAACTACATAGAAAATGCTGTCCTACTTACAGCCACAGCCTCTGTTTTCACGTCATCGTTGCTGTCAGGCGCAGTCAACTCTATGAGGACAGGGCACACTTTGGTCTCCACATCAAAGCGTTCAATCAGCTCCTGCTCCAGCAAAGCCAGCAAAGCCGCCTGGCTTGTTTTCCTCACCTACAGGAGAAAAGGGCAGAGGGGATGACGACAGTATAAACAAAAGATATACCTGATAACAACAGAACTCTATCACTTGATTTTTATAAATCTGGGGCTGGGGATTTAGCTCAGCGGCACAGCACCTGCCTGGCAAGCGCAAGTTCATGAGTTCGATTCCCAGTACCGAAAAAGAAAAAACAAAAAAAAGAAAAAATAGATCTTTATAAATCTGAAGATTTCTCATTTCAATTTAAAGGAATTCATGACTTGTTAAAACCTTGCAAATAAATATTTGCGGCTTTTTCCAACAGCTACAGAGTAACAGTCTTTGTAACTAGGTAACCAAAACTGCCTGCGGTGGGAGATGAAGTGGAACACAGAAGCCATCCTTGTAAGGATGTCTCACAGGTAACACTCCCAGGGGCATCTAGGAGGTGCCACGTCAGAATGCAAGGACCAGGGTTTCCAACCGTGGCATGCAAGGGACCTCGTCTGTCAGACGCTCAGGACACCTACAACAAGAGAGAGACACAACCACATAAGATGGCTCCGGTGAGGCTACTCTTCAGAACACAGCACTCTCACCTGGTTGTTCTGATCTGCGAGATACCGCACCACCACGGGCAGCAAGTACTTGGAGAAGGCGCAGGGGATGGAAGGCCGGCTTTCCTGGCAGAACAGCGCGAGGTGTGGCACCTGCTCCATCAGCTCTGCGCGCACCGTGGGCTCTGGGGAGACAGCAGCAACATGACGTGAGGGGACGCACCCTCTCACAACAGCAGGCCCTCGCCTTCTGGGCAGCCCGGGGCCCTGCGCCTTCACTCAGCACAGAACAAGCTCTAGCCCTGAGGTGTCTGCACACCTACGCACTGGCAACCCAGGAGGGCAAGGAGGAGCCCACGCCACCTGAGGTCCTGCCACTCGGTGTGCACCTTCCTACAGTGAACACATCTGACCCATATTTACACCGCCGCTATGACAGGAACCGTCTGTGAACTCCAGGATTTAAAACCTCCTAGACAGGACAAAATGTGAGGGCTGGCTGCAACCTCAACGGAGTCTACCTAGATTTACAACCAGACTTGACTAAGACTAAAACACAGAATGAACATTAATGGAGATAAACGGCTTTTCAAAGTAATTTTTAAAAACCTGAAAAGACCCAAGGGCAGATGGCAAATTTACATGTGACAGAGATGCAGATATTTCAGATGTCTGGGTTTCAAAACGATCAACTGCCTGATATATAATAAAAGAAAAATTAGCTAATTAGGTGAAGGAAGAGTAAAGAGCCATACTGCAACCCACCCATCAATTCCAGTGAAACGAAGTTCCAAACTTAAACCCCTTAAAGCACTGAAAGATACTTTCAGAAATGTCCAACCTGAAGGTGAGAAGACAAAAAAACTCCCACTGATTTCATTTTACAAAAACTTCACTCCAGGTAACAGATACCCTACTAGCTAAAAGGTCAAATAGCCTAGGAGAAAAAATCTGCACATAGTACTTTTTTTTCATAGCATGGTATTAATAGGTCAAATATACAAAGGGCTCATTGCTCAAATATAGGAAAGAAAAAGACTGAATAGGCAATTCATGGAAGACAGGTAAGTGATCAAAACACATGAAGAAACACACACAAATTATTAGTAATAAGTCATTTCATCAGGACTACATTACTAAAGTTATCTGCAGGTAAGTATGTATGAGTATGTTCAATGTAATTTCACATCTCAACAAACAGAAATGAATATGGCTATCAATACAAAACACATTAACAGTTTATAAAACTAAGAATCTTAGCATTTGGAATTTCTATGAAGTTGTTGTACCATGTAAAGTAAGCAGTACTACTTACTTCTGGCTTTGAAAAATAAAAACACTAATTTGAAAACAGATATATAGGCCTAATTTTTTTCTCATGATTCTGAATTTGCAAAGTTAACACTGACCTAATTACTTCCATGTATTTTTTAAAAGCAAAAGGAGCACACAGCTTCAGTTTCAGCTAAAAATGAAATACTGTAACATTTGTTCAAAGTTATGCTCAGAGTCAGATGTGGTGGCATACATCTGTAATTCCAGCACTCTAGGAGACTGAGGCAGGAGGACCTCAAGTGTGAGCACAGCCTGGGCAACTTAACTTAGTGACTTAGTGAAATCCCATCTAAAAAAATTTTTTTAAAGGGCTGAGGACATAGCTCAGTTTGAAGGCCATGGGTTCAATCTTTAATCCCATGAAAAGGTTCTGGTTCAACAAAAAGACCAATGGAACCAGAGCACAGTCCAGAGACAAAAGGTGCACATCTGGACAAGAGAGTTGTTCCAAGAGGGAAAGAAAGATACAAGGCTTCTTACACAAATGGTGCATGGTGACTGGCTACCCATATTTAAAAACAAAGAATGAAATGTGTCTCCTACTTCATGTAACACACAAGAATAAATTCTAGAAGCATCACATTATACACAATATACACAGCTTTTGTCAATTTAATAAAAAAAGAATTCCACATGGAACACAGACTTTAGTCAAAAGCGAAAATACACTTTAGATTCAATAATGCATGAAAAATATTAATGACTCTGAGGTAGGGAAAACTTTCTTGAAGAGGACAAAGAACATTGTGCACAAAAGAAACGAATGATAAAGTTCAAACCTGCAAACTAATCTGTACTTTCAGTGGTCAGATGGCGCTTACCTGTGGGGCAGAGGGAGGAGGGAGAAGTCAGGAGGAGCACTGAGAGGATTTCTAGGCTGCTGGTTCTACTTTTTGACCTGTATTCCTATTATAGGAACCTCTCTTCCCTTTGAGAAATTTCCTGAGGCTGTAAAACTTACAGTTCATATAAGTTTGTTGTAATACTCAATATTTTTTAAAAAATTCCTGCTTCTAATGTATTATTTCTGAAACTCCAGGCAGGGCCGAGGGTATAGCTCAGTGGCTTAAGTGCTTGCCTGGCAAGCCTGAGGTCAAAAAAGAAACCCCAGGCATATGCATATAGTTCCAACTGGTTCCCAATTTACACATCCAAGCAGCTGAGAACTGCCTGTTCCCACACAACCAGTGAAAGCACATCCATGCCACATATACACCGCCAAATCAGCATAAAATGACCCCTACCTGCTAATAGCCCTACACATGTAGAACAACTCCAAGCCACAGTGAAGGCTGAACCAAGCACCAAACTCCTGTGAAGCCCCACTAATGAACTCATAATCCAAACTACGAAGAAGACAAGGAAAGGATCTCTCATCAGCAAAAAGAGTAAGACGCAACAGAGCGATTTTAATACTGAGCACTCTTAAAAATGAAAAAAAGGGGGGTTCATAGCAATGTACAATTCAACAGTCAAAAGCAGACGGGAGACAAAGGACTGAAAAGCAAGAACAGTTAAAGCCATGAAAAATACACTTACCTAACACAAGTTCTACATCCTCAACCATATGAACAAAACTTACTCAAAACAAAAAAGATTTTAAGACGGAGAATGAAAAAACAAGAATTGTCAAATTCAAGAAGTAGAGCAAATCCTGAGTGCAATAAATTTGCACCTAAACATAGCACAATGCAACTGCAGGACAGCAAGGAGAGGGGATTCTAAAGGCAAGAGGAAAGAGGAAACAAGAGTACCTACGGCCCCGATTTACACCTGGATGCCCCCAGAGCTCATATCACTCAGTGGCAGGACGGGGACTGAACGACGGGGACACTACGGCTGGCGTGGCGTCAGGTGGGGCCTGGGTTCCAGCGGCCAGCGGGGTATGACCTGGAACGGTGACTCTCCCAGGCTCCTCCCCTCTGCTTCCTGGCTGCAACCAGGTGAGCAGTTTTCCTCTGCCGTGCCTTCCACCAAGCCTTCCTGCCCTGGAGTTGGCCAACTATGGGCTGAAAATATGAACCAAAGTAAGTCAATCCTTTATGCTTCCCAACTGTTGGGGATTTTTTCCCAGGGAGGATGAGAGTGACCAAAACAAAAACACAAAATGTAACTAGTAACACTAGTAAACTACTGTCACTGAACACTAGTAAACACTAGTAAATTTCTCAATAGCAACGATAGTAGGAAGAACTGAAATAGCATTAAGACTATCAGCTAGATTTCTTTTTATTTTTTTTATTTTTTATTTATTTATTT